GTGCGATTCAATCCGTCCGTACATTGTCCCCACATTGGGCCCGGCGGGGGTGGGTATTGTGTCGACGACATGACCTACCAGCAGGTGGTGCTGGAGAAATACTTCCGACACTCGTGGGTGCCATACGGATATGCGGATCACAACCCCTGGGTGGCTGTAGGAGCACAATAACGGTCAGAACCGATGCAAGACTCACTCTGGAGAGAGAATGTCAGAGAGATTGTGCTGCGAACTTACCTGCTTTAGCCCCAAGACGGAGCATGACAGCTGGTTGACTAAGTGGTAACGGACCTGACTTGCTGCCTACGATACTGACGGCTAGCACATCTCACCGCGATTCCTCGACCCTCTGCGGTCGGATTCGAACCAATCGAGTCAAAATCCGGTCTCTCAAAGGGGATGCAACTGTGACAAGCGAAGGGGCATCTTCATCGCCACCAAGAATGCTCAGGGTCCTCTTGGCGGTCGTGAATGAAATTGTCGATCACGCGCAACACGACTTGGCCTTTTCCGCCCACCACATTGTAGCCCAGAAAATGGATGATTAGGCGCCCCGCCCTGGAAAGCACTGCTTGTCGCGGAGAATGATCGAGATGCCGCACGCCGTGTCAAACACGCATGGGCAATTGAAGTCCGGACCAGCTGTGAGCAGTAATCGACGGATTTGTGCTTTTCCGAAACCCCTCTCGCTTCATCGCTCCGAAGATGCCTAATGGGTCATGTTGGCGTGTGCGCATGCTAGTATCGGGCCAAGGTGCAATCAACACTGCAACTGCAGAATGCTAAGACCCACTGCGGACCCGTCGCCCTCCCCAGACGATGCTGTCGGCCAAGTTCGTGGAGAAGTTTTCAAGTTGCCCCAAGGCTGAGCAGTGTCTCTCCCACTTTTCTCCTACCATGTGTGGGGATTAAAACCTGAGTAAGGTGAGGTGAGCTGTGCTGAGCATGACTGGCCTGAAGCAGAAGATAGGCAACGGGTCCTGCCGCGGAGGTTTAGGTCGCGACAGCTTCAGGGCGGCCAAGCCGGACAAATACGGAGTTGAGCGGAACAGCTGGCTTCGGCCAATCTACGCTAAACGGCCAATCGGGTGATTTGCGCGCGACGTCCATCGTGGTCCGAGCCTACGCCTACTACCTACCTCAGTACTCACTCGACTCCTGCCAATGCTCTGCCTCCTGCTCCTCTTTCGCGTCTCGTATAGCCCTATGGATTCTCGTCGATAGTCTCTGTATGATCGGCCTTTCAGAGCGATACGTTCGCAATTATGCCATCCAAGCAGTGGACTAGCCATCCCCCAACCGAAACAGGCCGTTCTTCGACGCCGCATCGGGCACTTGGTTCCTGCGCAAGACCAAGTCTCCGGGTCGAACCCCTTGCGAGGTTCTACGATCCAGTCGGTTACACAAATTGGTCACAGACGGACAACACGCGGAGTGTATACCACCAGCTAAAGCACCAGAGGAGAAGTGATCAGCGAGCGCATGGCGTCAAGGTCGAGACTGACACCACCAACGTGCCAAGCTACTTGGCCCCTGCGCGTGAATGCAGTCTAATCTCGGCGATGATAGTACCCAGTGCAGCTATCCAGTGAGATTTCGGCTTTGTCGTCGGATTTCTGTGTAGCTATCAGCACGCATCCACCATCCTTCACCCCCCTCCATCCTGACTGATTACCTCCGACACTACTGCTGCCCGGATTCTCCGCCAACCATGGGTCCACGTCCTTCACGGCAAGACTGCCCCCAAGCTCCGTAGTGGGATGCCGTTTAACTTCCGGTGCATCAGCCGAGCCGCTTACGACTCTATTCGTGCAGATCAGCGTGGCAAGTCACCAATCAACACCGCGGACTAGCGACCCAGAAAAGCCGGAGGAGAGGGGGCAGCGAGACAATTCTCTGAAGACGGGAGCTCTGTGCGTGATCAAATGTCTGACATGCATCCTAGTCCGGTTGGGAACTGGTGCTCTGTCTCCACCCCCTCGGTGGCCATCCTCCTGTACCACCCCCGGCACGACCAAACTTCCCCGGCGCAGGATTCAGAGCGAACCTAAGAAGGTATTATCGGAGCCCTTGAGGCGCGTATCCGGTCCTAACACCCTATCAGCCTTCTACCCGTATTATTTTCTTCCAGTTCAGCCAGCCAGTCATTGAGAGAACCTCAACGAAGAACTCAGAGCTTATCTGCTTTCTTGTCGGATCACAGTTAGGCGTGCTCGGCTCATCACAAGAACAAATCACGATCATTGACGAACTGGATGGGGGTGTCCAGCTGCAGTAGCGGCCAAGAATGCCTAGTATCAATATCTGGTCGGAGTTGACGACGATAATCGTCGGCCAAGGCCTTGAGTTACAACAAGTATGATCCGAGAGGGGGTTGCAGGAAACTGATGCCGGTTCTAGACAGCGATATGACACTGTCCTCATGGCAAGCGATTATTGCCTCGCGGACAGACATTGCCCCGAGACCAGAGGCAGATGAATAGATATAAAGCTCCCCGACGGACCCGTCCATTGCTGTCAATCATCATCAGCTCATCTCCTCCTCTTCCTCATCACATCTTTACTCTCTCTAATAACAATGAAAGTAGCTGATACCCCTGACTCCGCCTCCACCATCAGCATGACGAACACAATCACCATCACCGTCGAGCAGGACGGCTACTACGATATCAACGGCTCGCGGCAGGAGCCTATTGTCAACCTCCAGCTGGTGACGGGCGCGTCCAAGCTGCGAAGGCAATTAAAAGAAAGCAACGAATTGATCATTTGCCCCGGTGTATACGATGGATTGTCCGCCCGAATTGCAATGAACCTTGGCTTCAAGGCCATGTACATGGTAACTTGGCTTCTCCCCCCCCTCCTCCCCCCGGACTCGTGCTACAAATTCCCCAGTCCGGTCCCCATAATTATCCCGGTGGACGCACTGACGACCCGCTTTAGACCGGAGCCGGCACTACTGCCTCCCGGCTCGGACAGGCAGATCTGGGCCTAGCCCATCTGTACGAGATGCGAACCAACGCCGAGATGATAGCCAATCTGGATCCCTACGGGCCCCCACTCATTGCTGATATGGATACCGGATACGGAGGTAGGACAATCTTTTCTACTACCACCAATAAAATCTCCACAGAACCGCAGAACTAACACAAATCTTGTCAGGCCCCCTGTTCGTCGCCAAATCCGTGCAGCAGTACATCCAAGCCGGCGTCGCCGGCTTCCATATCGAGGACCAAATCGCCAACAAGCGCTGCGGCCATTTGGCTGGCAAGCGCGTCGTCTCCCAGGAGGAGTGGCTGACGCGCCTGCGGGCGGCGAAGATCACCAAGGACCGGCTGCGCTCGGACATCGTGCTCATCGCCCGCACGGACGCCCTGCAGCAGCACGGCTACGACGAGTGCATCAAGCGCCTGAAAGCCGCGCGCGACCTGGGCTGCGACGTCGGCCTGCTCGAGGGGTTCACCTCCAAGGAGATGGCCCGCCAGGCGGTCAAGGACCTGGCCCCCTGGCCCCTGCTGCTGAACATGGTCGAGAACGGCGCCGGACCCGTCATCTCCACCGAGGAGGCCAAGGAGATGGGCTTCCGCATCATGATCTTTTCCTTCTGCTGCATCACCCCGGCCTACATGGGCATCAAGGCAGCGCTAGAGCGGTTGAAGAAGGACGGCGTCGTGGGACTGCCCGAGGGGATGGGCCCCAAGAAGTTGTTCGAGGTTTGTGGACTGATGGACGCGATGCGGATTGACACTGAGGCTGGTGGTGATGGGTTCTCCAATGGTGTCTAGACTTTAGTTTTCCTTTTTCTTTTGTGTGTCTCTGGCATATTGCTTTTCCGGTGTTATTTTGTTTCCCCCTACCCCGTTCATCTCCCCTTTTGGAGATCATTTTCTTTTCTTTTTCTCTTCTTACATATGTTTCTTTTCTATCCTTGACGGATGTGCATGTGGGAATTTGTACCTAGAAGGTTCCGGGGCATCACGCACAGATACACACCCTACTATATGGGATATATATTGTCGTCTGAAGCAAAATGAATACATTAAATGAAAAGAACAATGATCCGGACTGAGATGGTATCTGATTTCGTATCCTGAACGTTTTTCTTTCTCTCCCTTTTCTATCTTGTCTTCTTTTTCTTTTTCTTCTTCCTCGATCCATCTCTCGCGATCTCCCCTCTATCCCTCATTCTTAGCTTTTTGTTTCAGGGGAAAAAAAAGGTTTCGAACCTAGACTACGGCAGCGATCATCTTGAGATCATCACTATGCGAATAATGCGGATGGAGCGCTTCCCCGCCCAACGAGGCGGTTACCTTCCCTTACAGCCTCATTCTAGGGGGCGGTTGTGATGCAGCCTTGTAAGGAAACAGTGGGACTACCTTATACGTACTACCATGCGCATGTATCCCGTGTCGATCATTAGACAGACCGCAGCTGAGGGGGGCTGATTATCTGGTGGACTATTGGGTGATCTTACCGGTTTCGAAACTCCTCGGGTGGAGGCGGAGTACAATTATTGAGATTTGTTTTTTGGTGGATGTTTGCTTTTTTCTTAATTCGCGTTGACTTGACCGAGGATCGACTAACCGAGTGTGGTGTTTATACGTGAATACTGGAAGGATGATTTGGTGTTTTTTTCAATTATTGTTACGCGAAGGCGTGGAAGGACAAGAAGAAATTATCGAATGAGACTTTCATCACACGTGACACATACACATAATAACATCGGAAGTGGAAGTATGGAACATGAATGAGGCTGGGGATTGTGGATGATGGAGTGGTCGATGAAAAGAAAAGAAAAGAAAAAGAAAAAGAGGTAATCCGCCCAACGACGCTGGCTTCCTCAAGAAACACCTCAACTCAGGTCAAAGAAAAGAAAAATCGTAGGTCGGTAGAACAGTGAAGAGTATCAATCAAGAAGCGAAATCAAAACAATAAGTATGCAACCTCATGCCTGAATCGGCGAAAGCATCACGGTCCTCCCCCTCTTTCCCCACTGATTGCAAGGGACCGGGGGGGGGGGGGTGAATTTACTCCAACGACGTCTCCTGATGCACCACGATCCGCCACTCGCCGTCGGACCCCTGGCTCCACGTCGTCGACCCCGTGCCGTTGAAGTGGATCTTGCCGCGCAGCCGCGCGTTGATCTTGTAGGTAACCGTGCCCGCCATCAGGTCGATGATGAGGACGCGCACGTCCTTGAGCTCGTACTCCTCGAAGTGGTGGAAGGGCGGCTTCAGCGCCTCCGAGAGCGACGGGTCCTTGCTCTGCAGGGTCAGGATGTCGCGCTTCGGGAAGAGGAAGTTGGCGTCGTCGTTGGACATCTTCTTGATCTCGGGGCCGGGGTCCGCCGACGTCAGCGCCGTCCAGAGGCGGCGTTCCATGGCCAGGAGGTCGTCGCGGATGCGTTCGTGGATTGGGGCCATTGTGGGCGGGTTTGTGTTCGGGTTGGCGGTGGTGGAGAAGGAGGAGGGGGGCGGTGCTGGTTTTGAGGGTGAGTTTGAGCGTGGTTTCTTGGTTATGGATGTTGTTCAGGAGAGAGGATTGGGGTAGAGATCTGATTGTTTGGTTAGTCTGTCGTTTCTCACTGTAATTTGAGAAGGGATGCGACGTACTGAGGTGGGCTCTCGATATCTCACCGCAACGCGCGCGTAGGTTTGTTTAGATGACGGGTATAGAGGGCAGACGTAACGTTGTCCGGAGTATAAAAGGAAAACAGAACCAGAAGGTTGAGATGCCAGGAACAAGATGGAAAGATGAGGGTCGAAGGGGGGGGGGGGGACAGCCCAGCGGTGACGTCATGGGCGTTGTACCCCACGTGGATGACGTCGCGGCACTCTCTTTTCGTGTCCTCAGTATATGTAATCTCCCCCCCCCTCCCCTCCCGGTCCCCGTGATGGCAGAGGAAGACTCAGCCGTGTCATGTCATGCGATGACCGTCTACCTCTTCGGTGGACCGTAATTTAGCGAGATCTGCGTTACCGGATGACGCAGGTGAGGATAAGAGGATAGAGGGGGTGGTGACGCAGTGGGGGAGACTGAGCGAGAACATGACTCCACGGGGTGACTTTGCAATGGAAAGGAGATGAAGTATGCGATAGAAGATTATGGTTTAGACTTGGAACGCTGGTAGCTGAATGTACTCAAGTAGTTGTTGTTCTGGACTGTGGTTTGGCAGGTGTCAAATTGAGGGGAGAGGCTGGGATTCTTGGCGTTGCGCCATGGTGGTGTTGGTTGCACCGTATGCAATGGTTGTCATGTTTGCATGCATGGGTGCAAACAATGCATTTATCCAGGTCATGTAACCACACAGAAAGATGTGTTGTTGGTGCCTGAGGCACAACAACACGCCGCTATCTCAGCCTTTCAGCTTCAGCTTCCACAGCTAACTACATCGTGCATAAACCCGTGACAGACCAGACTGCTTCATTCACAGATCTTTTTCATCCCAACCAATCACTATCGAAATTACTTCTACAAGGCTACACAGAAACCTGCCCTGCCAGTTGCTAACATCTCAGGAAAGCAACCATGGAAAAAAAGCATACCTTCCAACTACTGTACACTCAATCACAAGCCAACAAAATCTTCCTAAGCTCTGAGTCACCTCGGCCACAGTCTTAATTACAATCCACTTTCAATTTTCAGACAAGCCGAGGAGTATCCGCATTGAATCGGTATACCAAAGCAGCTCGCAGACGCTGGGTCGGACACCGTGACAGCCTCAATAAGACTTTCGTGACGGCGGTTACCCAAGGGACATTCTTCAGCCAGGTCTCCACCAATGGAACAAATTAGCATAATCTGGAAGGCGTTTAGTCGAGATGTGGGCCTCTAGTTTGGGCGCGGTGGCCGAGCTAGTCTCATCCCTCGGATTTCTAGAGACGGCTTATCTCTCGCCATGAGGGTGCGGGATCACAACACATCACAACCGATGAGACAAGCAGTACACGAATTTCGCCATATCTTCGTCCACACCTCGGAGGACAATGGCCGTTGAGCAGCAATTTTGCTTCACTGAAATTCTGAAGGTGGTGGGATTGCATTGAGACAGGGAGTCATTGCAGACGGAGCATGCAGCCTGGTATGCTGTAGTAGATAAAGCACACCAAGGTAGCATTGGCAGAAGGCTTGCAATGCCCTCAATCAACAAAAAGCCATCCGGCATTATCAACTTCGAAAAGTGGTCTGCCTAGTGCCCACTGCCAACCCCAACACCTGGTCACGGACCTTCCAGTAGCACTGGGTTGAGCGATTTTCAGCCATTGGCGACTAGGTCTGGATTTTTCCGGCTCATTAGCACTCGTCAGTCTCGGATGCCTTGGGAAGCTGGGAGGTGGTGTCCCCATCGCTGAAAAAAGCCTCAAAATTTTTTTTTTTGTTTATCGTGGTTCCAGCTTTTCTCGGATGACAGTCACGTGCCCTGGCGACAAGAAGCTTTCGAGAAAGAATTCTTCGAAGCTTCCCCTCAACTCTTTTCCCCGTCTACTCCGGTTGATTTATCCACTTCCCCGCCTTTTAGCTATCTTTTTGACTTCATCGCTGGCTGTCATGCAGGGAGCGGCCACCTCCGACGAAGACAAACGGTGATAGTCGCCTCTTCGCCGTGCTGGGTCTCTTGCCCTGCCTGGGAGGATGGAGAGTCAACAGGAGTCCGGTGGGCCGCCGATAACTGACCCTCCTTCTGAATGGAGGGCGAGGGCGCGATAAGAACCAGATAAATGAAGCTCCACCGCACAAGACGGGTGCCCTTATCGCCGATTCCATCCTCCTCAGTCTTGTGCTCTCATCTTATCACTGGCAGCCGTGTTATCATTCGGATGTCTCCGATCGGTTCCTGCGCTAGCTGTGAGCTCATCGATTGTACATGTCATCTTGTGCAGCATCATTGAATGACTCTCAGGTGTACACGCCCGTTCACGCTGGGAGTTCGTTCTTGCTGGAGATCACCCAGCCATTTTCTGCAGCATTGCAATAGTGGAACCACGGAAAACAAACCGTGGCCGGGCTTGGCTGAATCACGTTAGAAGTGGGGATTCTTCAGCCAGAAGGCTGGTTCGGCATCAATACAACGACGATCATTGGCCTGCGGGATAAGCTGCTTCGACTGCCGATCGCTACTCCTAACTTATCAGCGCTGATCCTTCCTAATCAGCCAATCTATGGACAATGGATCCCAATTTTTCCTGCAGGTGGACTTGCTCATGGATCGGTGCTTGCCGACTGCTTTCCGATTGCTTCCCGCGCAAAGCCCAGAAAAATTCTCCCAATTGTGACTCTATATAAGAGCTGTCGCGCGACCTTTCACTGGGAAGAAAGTGTGCTCTCTCACATTTCCAAACGCGCACAAGATGCAGCTCCTCCAATCCGTCACCACGGGCCTCCTGCTCGCCGGCAGCTGCTTGTCTTCCCTGGCTACGGCTCGCTCTGTTCCTGTGCAGCAGCCCCGCGATGTTGCCGTGAGCCACACGCCGGCCAAGATCACCCCTAAGGTGTTCATCGTTTCGATGGTAAGCCCAGCAATCTCTAGCCCAGCATGACCCCAAGCTCACAAAGCCTGCAGTTCGCGCCCGAGGCCGAGATCTGGTGGGGTATCCCCGAGTTCGATCTGTTGGCTCACAACATCACCATCCCTGGCGCTTCTCCCGCCTTCCCCGATGTCCACTGCACGGCGGACTACACCATCTGCCAGCTCATCACTGGTGAATCCGAGATCAACGCTGCCATCACCGTCGCGTCGGTCGTCTTCAACCCCATGTTCGATCTGACCAAGACCTACTTCCTCGTCGCCGGTATTGCCGGCGTCAACCCCGAGCGCGCGAGCATCTGCGATGTGACCTTCGCCCGCTTTGCCATCCAGGTGGCTCTGCAGTACGAGATTGACATGCGCGAGATGCCTGCCAACGCCACCACGGGTTACTTCCCCCAGGGCGGCTACTACGCCGACCAGTACCCCACCAGCATCTACGGCACGGAGGTGTTCGAGGTGAACGACGAGCTGCGCAAGATCGCTGCCGGCTTCGCCCGCAACGCCACCCTGGCTGACAGCGACGATGCCAAGGCCTACCGCGCCAAGTACGCCACCGAGGACGGCCTCTACCAGGCCGGCACCCAGGGCCCCTCCGTCCGCCTGTGCGACGTGACCACCAGCGACGTCTACTTCAGCGGCCGCCTGCTAGGCGAGGCCTTCGACAACACCACCAAGATCTGGACCAACGGCACCGGTGAGTACTGCACCACCGCTCAGGAGGACAACGCCACCCTGGAGGCCCTCGTCCGTGCCTCGAAGCACAACCTCACCGACTTCTCCCGCATCATCGTCATGCGCACCGCCTCGGACTTCGACCGCCCCTACCCCGGCGAGACCGCCCGCTACAACCTGCTCTACTCCACTCAGGGTGCCTTCGAGCCCGCCGTCGAGAACCTGTACAACGCCGGTATCAAGATCGTTGAGGGTATCCTGGCGAACTGGAACAGCACCTTCGCCTCCGGCATCAAGCCCCGCAACTACCTCGGCGACATCTTCGGCACCCTCGGTGCTACCCCCGACTACGGTCCGGGCCGTGCCCAGGCCCTCGAGGAGGCCGGCGCCATCCTCAAGAAGCGCAGCATGGGCAAGCGCTTTGTCCGTTTGTAAAGACCTAGAAATGTTTACGATCATGTGTGCGGATGTAATGATAGATTAGAACAATATAATATTACACGTTAGTTTGTATGAGATCAATGTTTGTTCATTTGACTATCTTCGATCAATCCTTACTCTGGGTAAGAGAAGGCTAGCTGTCGAGATGATTCGGTGTAGGAGGAATTAGCTCTCCGCGCGAAACAAAAGATAACATGCAGGTAATCGTAAATGCGAAACAAAAAATATCCAAAGTAGTTCTCGCCATCTGGAAGAGTATATGTCTCCCTCCATCGATTTCCAATGTAGCCCTCGCTAAGGAAAAGGAGCCATGTATTACCTTTATATTACCCCAGTACCGCCCAACCTCTCCACTTTATCTCTCGGTCACGATCACCAACTGCTTGGAACTCCAATTCTGAGGTCCTCTATCAAGCACCGTCCTCCAGTACAATTATTCTCCGGTGCAATTTGACAAAGCACCGGTCCAGAAGCTAAAGGACAACTGGAAGTCGCCCAAAGCGACATTTCTCAGTAGAACAGAAATAGCTGCTGTCTAGATGCACGTAAGGGATCACATAATATCAAGACGGTGGCTGCAAATAGTACTATTAGTGGAGTCTGATCGTTGGATTGGATTTGACCCGAGACCAATCGAATCGATCGACAGGTGAATGTTTTCTGCCGGATCCCAATCATGTCAAATCAGACGTCCTGGGGCCAGTTTCGATCGTGGTAAAGAGACTACGGATTTGACAATGAGATCAGGGTTGCTTAGGTTGTGACCATGGGTCAGAGAGCACGGCTCGGGTTAGCCCAGGCTTCTTTCTACATCTGTAGGCACGGCACTTCCCGTCCTGCAGGACTATACTTGTAATTGTAAGCAGAGTGAGATCTCTCTCCATTATCTACATTTATGTGGTCGAATAGAGTGTCTAGTGGGATAATAGAGTCTCTGAGGGTGTATGAGGCCTTGTGCCGACTTATTTCCGTGGTTCGCTGGCTCGGATAGCAGGAGTCATCGACTTGGAACCAAGGCTCTGTTGTACATACAGCCACCAGCTTCGTTTGTTATAGCTTTGTAATGTCTGGCATCATACCGAAGTCCAGACAGGATGAAAAGGTTTTATGCCATCAGAGGTTGTAGGCCCGTAGAATCTTGGTTTGGTCTACACGACGCATGTGACGGAACAAGTATGAGTACTCCGTACTTGGTAGACGGTGACTGTCAACATTAGATAATCAACCGATCATTGAGCCTGTTTACCCTGTATGTACTGTACACAAGATGTGTGCCGGTTCCCCGGGTCAAATACCATTGCACTGGTCAACGTTTCTGACCGCTGACTAGATGATTCTCACAACTGACCAGCTGATCTGGGCTCTTTCAGTCTATCGGGTCAAGTCATGGGCAAAGTAGAGAGCGTATCGAGTCAAACGGCTGGAAGCGGCACATTCAGAGCCCAAGAACTGCCGAAAACCCCGTACAGAGCGAGGGTCTACAGAGTACCTACAATGTTTCTAAGTGGATCTTTCGTAGGTACGCAAGGGGATCACTAGCTGCTGGTCCATGGACAGCCCAACTTCACAAAGAAGCTACAATCGACAAAAAATGTTGGGTCTAACAGCCGCGACAGTAAAGAGCTACGTCAATGCTGCTACTAAGGCATGGTCATACTGTAGTTGATTCGTAGCCGGATGCTCTCGAAAAGTGAAAATGATATAATCGAGAGATAGAACCAAGAAACAGTCCATAATTTTAGAGCTTCCGGTGCTGCCGACCTCGGCAAGTATCTAGTTAACTTTTATGCCTCAAATCATTCGCGAGATCCACGGTCATGTAGAAAGCCGGAAGAAGAATGCTAACGTCAAGTGACCCGACGGGCCGTACTTTGAAGATCTGAGTTGTATATCTAAGGCGCCGTCCCTCGGCTTCTACAGGTCAGTCCTCACAGCAACACTCTCCAGCACTCAGTATGTCTACCTGCTTATTCACGGATTCTTCCTATGGTTTTTGACCGATACCCCGTCACGCCTCCGAAAGAAGGCACCTACGCCACGAGCGCCCTTCGCAACAACGCCAAGGGCACTGATCTCGACAAGGAGGCTCTCGAGCGCTTTGAGATCCGCGAGATCTGCGAGGGATGGGGTAGCTACCGCGATGCCGCTGAGTCCGTTTTCCCTCCTTCCGAGCCCTGATCCTTGCATGAATTCTCCCTTAGACGGTGGCAACCCCAATGCAAAGCAGACATTGTATGGATACGGAGAAGGATTCAAAGCGCAGGCTTTACACTGGCTTCCACCCCACAATCTCGGTATGTAATGCGTTTTAGAGCTTTACCTGGCACTCAGCCAAAGATGAACCCTCAGTGATCTACACGTACTGCCGCTTCGACGTGCCGAAATACCCATTACTGGTGGATGATGACCACGCCCAGACGTTGAACTCATATATAGGCTGATTAGGGCGCGAGGTTCGCCCGGTGTTGTTTACCCGGCGTGGACCGAGTTTGTGGTGGTTAGGCTTACTTTAAGGCGCGGAAGTCGGCTTCATCTTGAGGTACGCGAGCGTAACCTGGTCTCATATGCATGCTGTTGAAATCAGGCTGTTGAAGCTGTAAGAATGGGTAGTTTTGCTCACGCTGCAAAGACCATCCATCCCCCAAATGCGGGGATTGAGGGGGTCTCGGCCCCACATTCGGGAAATCCGAGTGGTACTGGACGTTGAGCATAACTACAAAGCATGTACATGCCATACCAAGTGAATCCCACCCTGTTTCAGCATCAGATAACTCAATCGACTCCAGCGTCAAAATGCCGCGCTGGATTCTCCTCTCCTCCCTCCTCTTCACCGCCGCGCTCAGCACCAATGCACCCCCGCACACCCAACACCACCCATACACCAACCCCATCCTGCCCGGCTGGCACTCCGACCCAAGCTGCCTGTTCTCCCCCTCCCACAACAACACCTTTTTCTGCACGACTTCCTCCTTCCTGACCTTCCCAGGCTGCCCGATCTACGCCAGCCAGGACCTCCAGCACTGGACGCAGGTCAGCGCCGCCGTCCACCGCGCCAGCCAGCTCCCCGCCCTGCGCGACGACACCAACCAACAGACGCTCGGCCTCTTCGCCTCGACCTTACGCCTGCACAATGACACCTTCTACCTCCTGACCAGCTGGCTCGACTCCGACTCCCCCAGCACCCCGCAGTTCCTCCTCTTCACCACGACCGACCCCTACAACCGCACCGCCTGGTCGGACCCCCTGCCCATCGCGAACCCGACGGGCGCCATCGACCCGGATTTCTTCATCGACGCCGACGGCACGACGGTCATGGCCTACTCCGGCTCGCCCATCCGCGCCTCGATCGTCGATCTCGCCACCGGCGCCGCAAGCCCCCCGTTCCCCTTGTGGAACGGCACCGGGGCCAGCAGTCCCGAGGGGCCCCATCTGTACTGGAAGGACGGGTGGTACTACCTGTTGATCGCGGAGGGGGGCACGCAGCTCCACCACGCGGCCACGCTCGCTCGGTCCCGCGACTTGGCGGGTGGCAGCGGCAGCTGGGAGGCGAGTCCCCGCAACCCCCTCGTGAGTAACGCGCGCACGGACGCGTATTTCCAGACGGTCGGGCATGCGGACTTGTTTGTGGACGCGCACGGGAACTGGTGGGGGGTGGCGTTGGCGACGCGCGGCGGGCCGCGCTTGTACAATGCCAGTGTGTATCCCATGGGCCGCGAGACGGTGCTGTTTCCGGTCCGGTGGGAGGAGGGCGGGTGGCCCGTTGCTGGGGGGAGGGTGGCCGGGCGAATGGAGGGGCCGTTGCCGTCGGTGAGTTGTGGGGGGCTGGGGCAGGCCCTGGGGTTTGTGGGTGATGCCCGTGAGGTGGTGGAGTTCAAGCCGGGGAGTACCTTGCCGGCGGAGTGGGTGTTCTGGCGCGCGCCCGTCCGGCCGTGGGATTATGTGGTTAGTCCGCCTGAGAGACCGAATGTGTTGCGGTTGGCGGCCAGTCGGGCCAACTTGACGGGCGACGAGGGGTTTCGGGCTACGGATGGGTTGACGTTTGTGGCGCGGAGGCAGACGCATTCGTTGTTCCGGTTCGAGGTGGATGTCATGCTGGGTTTCGCTACCGGGTCCGAGCAGGAGGATGAGGTCGGCGTCACCGCGTTCTTGAATCAGGGGCAGCATGTTGACTTTGGGGTGTTTTATGGGGTGGAAGCAGGAGCTGCAGCGAAGGGAAATGCAACAGGGTTGTATCTGCGCTTGCGGACGACGGTGTCGGGGAAGACGGGATTTGCGGGCCGTGTACCTGAGACGGTGGTGGTGAAGGTTCCGGACAGCTGGGATAGGGGAGATTCGGTGAGGCTTGCCATTCACACGGTGAATACGACGCATTTTGCATTCAGTGCGGCACAGAAGGGGAAATCGAATGAGGGATTGGTGCTGGGGGTGGTGAATACTACAGTCATCAGTGGGGATGGGGCGGGAACTGGTGGGTTAATCGTTCTTATGATTCTGCTTTGTGGCTATTGACTGACGTGGTCCACCGTATAGGGGCCTTACTCGGGGTTTATGCGACGACCAATGGCGGACTGCATGCGATGGAGGCGTATATCAGTCGATGGGGGTATTTTGGAGAGGCACAAGAGATTGACTATGGGGAATTCATTCCTGCAGGAGATGAAGGGTGCTAGACCAGTGGCGCGTCATACGAAACTGGATCGTCCGAGGAAGATAGCCTTATGACGAGTCATTATGTTAGAATCGTTCATCAGCTTCCCTTCAGTGACTCTCACGACGGACGTACTCAGTCAAAGTCATCAGCAAATCGTAGCCCTGATCTCGTGGTCCACGCCTTCTTCCCCCTCCACCCATCTAATAGAACTAAGTGGACAGGAGCAACCGAAAACCACCCAAAAGAGCCCTAAAAGCAAACCCAGTATCCTACAACCAACCAACAAAGACCAAAAATAGCCCCTCTCCTGTCTCCGACTCAATTCGACCTCAACTCCTGCACCAACCCCACAACATCCACAAACCTCCTCGCCACGAAATCCCCAACCACCTTAGGAATATACCCCGGAAACCCCCGCACGATCTGCCCCAACGTCCCCCACGACTGCTCCCCCTCAGTATCATACGGCAGCGTCCCCGCCAGCCCCGTCGTGTTGAACGAAGCATACACCATCGGCACCTCCTCAAACGACACCCCCGCCCCAACAACCACCTCATCCAAGCCCTCCGCGCTCAGAAGCCTGGCATTCCCCACCGCCGCCATCGCCAGCGGCGCCCCGGCGTTGACCGCGTACGTCCGCGCCGCAGCGACATTGATCTCGTTCGATTCCCAGTACTCTGCTCCCGGGGTGTTTGCGTCGGGCATATCTAAGTCCATGCACTTGTTAGTTGGGGGTTGCGTAGCACCAGCATGTAAAATAAGCTCAATCTAGCCAGCGCTGAGGTTCATCTAGCAAACGGACAGGGAAAGGGGAGAAACTAACAAGGCCACGAAGCGATATGCAACGTCTCCCTCTGCGCCTGGACATTAAACGTCATCGAGGGGTGGAAGTGCTCCCAGCACTCTAGCAGGCCCCAGCGACCGTACGGCGTCGCAATCACCTGCAATCCGTCGAGGGTCCCGTCCGACCAGAGGGTGCGCTCGCCGCCGGAGGGGCGGAGTTTGTGTCGTAGGAGTAGTGTCTCCCCGGACGGGGAGATCAGGGCCTGGGCCATGAAGATGTGGTTGGCGATGCGGTGGGAGAAGGCGGGGGCAATGTAGATGCCGTGGGTCTGGGCGGCGGTGAGGAGGCGGGTCCATTGCGGGCTGGGGATGGTCAGGGAGTTGGTGAGGTAGGAGGTGAGTTGGGCGGGGGTGATGCTGGTGTTGCTGGCGAGGCCTTTGGGGTAGCTGTTGGGTTTCGTGGGGTTAGTGGTGAATGGTGAAGGGGGATCGGGGCAAGAGGGCGCTCACCCTGGGAACCAGAGTTCGGGGAAGACGATCAGGTTGGCGCCGTTGGAGGCGGCCTCGGCGATGTAGTCCACTGCTTTGTCGACGGTGGCGTTCAGGTCGAAGGGAGTGTCCGTCCAGTTCTTGTTCATCACTGGCAGGGGCCAGTTGGCCGGTGGGGCGCGGACTACCGCTACCGTGAGGTTGGTGTAGTCTTCCTGGTGGATGGCGGTGGCATGACAGGTGCTGAGGAGGCTGAGGGCAAGGAGGTGGAGGGCGCGCATTTTCATCTCTGAGGAGGTGTTGTTAGGTTGAGTAGAGGAAGTTGTGTTGTCGATACATCAGCATAGAATCTGTACTTATACTTCCTCCCTTCCCTGACGGTGCTGTCCGATCTTGCCATTGTGTTTCTCCTGATATCTTGCTATCTGTACCGCCCTGATACCCAGGTAAACTGACAAGATAAGGATCATCGGCATCCCGGGGTTTCCGGGGTTTGTGATGTTTCCCTCACGCAGTTCAAATCCCGTGCCGATTTCGGGAGCTCTAGGACCTGAGGCTTCTGATAGTCACCCGAAGGGCCGGTTGATCTTACTCCCGGATTGTGGAGCCCTAAGATAAGCTTAACCAGTCTCTGAGTATTTTTCCGGGACGTACCATATTGAGGGAGGCATCAGGTGGCCTGGATAACCCTTCCGTGCTCCGGAGAACATCTTCCTCGGCCCCGTCCCTTATCCCGCTTACACTTGGACTACGGGACCTTTTGGTGTAGCTGCTATTTGGACTTTTTCTTCGTCAGACCTGGCAGACTTCTGAGGGGGGGAAGGTCACTGTGGAATGGCGGGGTACTGTTGAATTCTGTCTTATTATACGTGCAAATAATTGCCCCACTTTAGCTAGCACCTGGCGCAAATGTGTATTTCACCGGTTATAAATAAATGTAGTATGCTTGGGGATTCGACTGGTGACTAGGTAAAGCATATTTGTTCCTGATGGAATGCGGGATATGACCTACATAGAACAATCGATTCCACCAACCAAAAGGTAGATTCTGAAGAAATGCTCTAACCCAAGCCACACTGATTCCTCAACACCAACCCAGCCATTACTCACAGAGCATTGCATGTTCAAGATCTCGAGCAACACATCTGGGCTGGTACATTAGACTATAGAAGACCATCAACCAATCAAAGGCCGCCGGGCCGCGCCACTGCATTTCCCGCTGACGAACCCCGGGTTGCGGGCTCGTGCATAAATCTCCCGTTTTAGGTTTGTTGCAGAACTCTGATACCCGAATCAGGCTTTCAACACCAATTAATCTTGCTTCGACAGTCCACCATACGCTAGAAATGGATTTTCCTGCTGAGTTGCATCATCAGACTGCATATTTCCGGTTGATATGAGGTGTGCCAAGCCGCTTCTGATGGAGGGTCACTCCAGGTGACAAGAGGTGCAGCCGTATCTCAATGCTCGTGCCCTGAATCAAGTCATCATACAGTCTTCTAAACCTGTAGAGGTGCATTTTCGTGGATGCAAGGTGTTCTTGCAAAGTATACTGCAGAAGACATCATTCGACTTGATTCCCCAAGAGAAGGCATATATAAGTTGAGTCGAAGGTAGTGGGAAACCATATCTCTAGACTACAGTTTCCATTTAAGAGACTGCACAAACACCCATCTCTAACCCAACCCACCATCAAGAAATCAAAGGCAACACCCAAACCATGCCCAACACCGCGACCCCAGAAGCCTGGCGCACCAAGACCATCGAATGGATCCGCTCCTCCACCCCCGAGCAACGCAAACAATGGATCGAGCAAGCAGGGTTCAACCTCTTCGCCCTCACCAGCGACCAGGTATTTATCGACCTCCTCACCGACAGCGGCACAGGGGCAATGAGCCACCGCCAATGGGGGGCAATCATGACCGGCGACGAGTCCTACGCCGGCTCGGCCTCCTTCCACCGCCTCCAGCGCACCGTCCAAGACCTCTTCGGCCTGGAGCACATCCTCCCGGTACACCAGGGCCGCGCCGCGGAGAACGCACTGTTCTCAGTCCTCGTACACGAGGGCCAGGTCGTCCCGGCCAACGCCCACTTCGACACCACGCGCGCGCACATCGAGTTCCGCAAGGCCACCGCCGTCGACTGTCTGCCCGACGGCGCGTACGATGTGACGGACAGCAACAACCCATTCAAGGGCAACATAGATCTAAACAAGCTGCGCGATCTCCTCGAATCCCGCCACCCGGACATCCCCTTCATCGTGATGACCATCACCTGCAACACGAACGGCGGGCAGCCCGTCAGCCTGGCCAACCTGACCGCCGTGAAAGAGCTCGCGGACCGCTACGGCAAGCCCCTCGTCATCGACGCGGCCCGCTTCGCCGAGAACGCGTGGTTCATCCAGCAGCGCGAGCCCCCGTACCAAAACATGTCGATTCGGGAGATCACCCGCCGGGTCTTCGCGCTGGCGGACGCGATGCTCATGAGCGCCAAGAAGGACGGGCTGGTCAACATCGGCGGGTTCCTGGCCACCCGGCGCCGTGAGTGGTGCGACCGGGCGCTGGAGTATGTGATCCTGTTCGAGGGGTTCCGGACGTACGGGGGTCTCGCGGGGAGGGATCTGGGCGCGTTGGCGGTGGGGTTGGAGGAGGTGACCTCCGAAGAGTATCTGCGCTCGCGCATCGGGCAGGTCCAGCGGTTCGGGCGGCGGCTGGTCGAGGCGGGGATTCCGATCCAGTTGCCGGTGGGCGGGCATGCGATTCTCATTGATGCGGGCAGGTTCCTGCCGCAGGTGCCGCGCGAGGAGTATGTGGCGCAGATGCTGGCGGTGGAGCTGTATGTCGAAGGTGGCGTGCGCGGGGTGGAGATCGGGACGTTGCTGCAGGGCCGGGACCCGGAGACGGGCGAGGAGCGCTTCGCGGAGACGGAGTGGGTGCGCTTGGCGGTGCCCAGGAGGGTGTATAGCGATGCGCAGCTGGAGTATGTGGCGCAGGCGTTGGTGGAGGTGTATCATCGCAGGTCGCAGATCACGCGCGGGTTGCGGATTGTGGAGGAGAAGCCGGTGTTGAGGCATTTTACGGTCCGGTTGGAGCGGAGGGAGTAGGTGGTGCTATCCTACATGGAGTCGAAGTACTACTTTGCAGAAATTGTGACACTTGCCTGTGAAAAGAAAAGAAAAAGAATTAGAAAAGGTTGAAGGAGAAAGGGAAGACAACGACTTCAATTGAATCGATATCACCGTATAGCACTTGACCCCAACGGAACAACCCGCACAGCCAGAATGTTATAGAAAGAACCATAGTCCCAAGCCAACGCTTCCGCCTTCGAAATGCGCATCAAATCCTTCCAACTGAGCCCGATATCCCCCGCGGCCTCTCTCCACCCGTCCCGTGAGATATCCCCGATGACCTCCACGCACAGATACTCTTCCCCGGGTATCCGGTCCCCACTGTCAGGCAGCTCATTCACAATCAGGACGAGGTCAGTGAACCGCGGCCCGGATCGTGTGTCCAGACCCTGCCACCGCAGGATGTTCTTCAAGGCGTTCGAATCCCTCCGCAGCAGCTCCATCGGCACCGCCAAAGCCACCCTTGGCTCCTCCATCGCCATGCTCAGCCGATCACACTCTCGAGGCCATCTGTTAGCACAATGCTCCTTTTGGGACCACCAAATGTCCCCACCCGGAGGGTTCCACCGCCACTTGGTTCCCCACCGCACCACCTGCTGCTGCTCCGGCTCGGGCCCATTGGCGCTGATGCTGCTGTTGCAGCCCTCTACCGGAGACGACTCGCAGTACCCCTGGTACTCCGCAAGTGACAGGAACAGCACATCGCCCACCAGTCCGTCTAGGGCCTGCGGAGCGGTGAGCGCCTTCCGCTTCCAGACGAAGAAGAGGGCGCAGCGGCGTGGGTTGGCGCAACGCGAGTGCTCCTCCAGCCAGACCCCTCGTCGTTCCTGCTTGGTGAGATAGGCGCTTGCAGCGGCGCGAGCCTCCTGGTTCACCTGGAAGTGGCGGATGGGGTATCGCACCTTGAGGGTCGTCAGTGCGCCCTCCTCGCCGTGCTGGTCGTGGCCCGGCTCTGCGACAGCACGAGCCTGCCAGTGGTGTCGCTGGATGGGGTGGAGGATGATCTTTCCTGGGTCGATGAGCTCCCCGGTAGAGCGAGGGATGTGGCCTAGGGAGAATTTCCAGATCATGTCGCGCAGCTCGAAGGGGAGACAGGGAAAGAGGGAGAAGGAAGCCGACGAAGACATTGTTGGTTGGCGGGCAGTGGATCGAGGCTGTATGGGTGGAGGTACTTCGATTCTGCTGGTAGGTCTTTGAGTTGTGGGGTGAGGATCGGGTGTGACTGCTGTGTATGATAGAAGATCGAGCGTCAGATCCAGCAAGCAGAGTAATCTGACTGCTTAAGTATTCTGTATGTGTCTTTTCTTGGTGCATGATGAAAGGGCTTGTAGGCTGTGATTCTTGTCAATGTAGCATGTTCGTCACAAAGGGGATGCATGCCCATTGTTCCATACAATTACTGCCTTTGTCCGGAGAAGATAAAGACAGATCACGTGCATGGACATCCTATACTTTCCAAAAGACCAATCATAATGTATGGTTCATAATGTATAGTTGGATGTACTACTAGGTAGGTAGGTGACCCTACAATCGGGACTCGGAGGGCCGTTAGTCTAAATTGGCCGAGAAGCGCTTCGTGGGGATGGAGTGCACGTAGCTGACGATTTGTTGAAGGATGTATTGCAAAAAGTATTCAAAGCAATTCTCACCCAACAGGAAGCATCTCGACCGGCCTTGTTATTTCATTCGGTGAGCTGCTACTAAAACTACCCACTGCCTTGCAGATTTTAGGTGACTTGCTCTAACCCTAACTTAGTCTTCATTGCAGAGGTGTTTTTAAGCCAACTTAAGTTTTACAAGCGAAGCAGTTACTAAGTGCTTAGTCAACAGTTAGTTTCTACATAAGCATCTATATTACGATTATCAAGGCGACCAAGATCTATATTAGAATATTTCAAAATTGATATCACATTGTTTGGTGGTGCATATCTAATCTAGAATGGATGTTAGGAACCTGAGGTAGTATTTGTCAAAGGTCACAAATATTAAGGAGCAGTTCACACTGATTCTTCCAAAAGTTTTTTGGGAACTGTATACAAATTACAAGAGCCTTACTTAAGGCATTGAGTTATGAGCCAGAATTTACACAAGGGTAAGGGATAATAAAGAAGCAGCCAGGACTATATCTCAGTATCCAGCCAAAGCAGAAAGGAAAGTAGTTAATTCCGAGCTACACACCCTCAGAGCGATGTTAATAAAAATAAATATAATAAAAGTGCCCTCACCCCTACAGGGTGAATCAATCACGTCTGAGCTTGTCGCCAATTGAGCTTGTCTATTGCAAAAGAGGAACAATACCCATTGTCCCTCGCAATAGATGCTGTTGTCTCAGCCAGTGCGATAAAGACAGGTCACGTGTATCGACGGCTTATACTTCTCACTGACCCAATCAGATCACACTTATCGCTCTTCCTGCGTGTACAGTACAGAGCTGAAGTCGTCGCCCACGCTTGTTGCGATCATTATCGCTACCATCTGGTAGACAAAGAACCAATTTTGAAACCAGACAACAGCTGGGATATACTAGAGGGCACATTCTTTGTCTATCGATGGTGAACCGAAGAGTCAGATCATGTACTCGATGCAGTCTTGTAAAGTATATAGGCAAAATCAAGTGATTTTCTCTAGTATGAAAACATTCGGCAAGTAACTTGGGCTTATCATCCCCATGGGCTAATGTATACGGTTTCTTATCTCGGGTCAAATATCCTTCATCTGCCTCAACTTTCGCCGGAAGGACCAGGGAGCATGAATATAATGAGGGTCGAAGCTCAACTGAGCATTCGCAAAAAGGCCACACTGGGCATGCAAGCAAAGAGTCACCACGACCATCAGCCCGACTCCAAAGCTCTCGTCCTCATCGGCCGAATCTCAAACCCTCTACCGCCACTAGTAATCGTATACTCGACCGCCCGCTCGATCACCTCATAGACCCCAGGATCAAACAACCTCTCCCCAGCAGTCCAGTGGGTCCTCGGGCATTTCCAATCAACAATCATCGCCCTACCCCTATGCCGATAAGCGGGGTCCACCGCCCAATGCTGCGCTCCCTCCAGCGTATCCGGCCCATCAACAACCACAAAGATCAGTCGCGGACGACCAACCTCGTTGCGAATCGCTGCTAGAGCGATGGCATCGCGGCGCAGTGCTTGCAACGGTACGAGCAGGGGCACAGAAACTTTGCTGGTTGGTTCTCCCTGGGACTTGAGCTTAGGAGGATCATTCTGTCCCCGGGGGGGTGGGGGGGGTTTCAGGCTAGCGTGCTGAGTTGAATTGCGGTGGCTGTTATTTCTCTGTCGGACGGGGAGGTTGGAGAATGACCGGGGCGATAATGCTTTTTCACTGGGAGCAGGGAGATTGCGGGTGGGGAGTTTTGTAACCTTGAAAGGGGAGGGGAGGCCCTGGCTGGGAGGCTTGGGCTTCTTTATGAGGTTTGTGGCTTGTCGGGGGATTGGTGTGGATGGCATTGTGCTGGATTTGTTGGGGCTTGCTGTGGTGGGGGTGGCTTACTCTTTTAGAAATTCATTGACTCTGATTCTTAAATAGATTCTCGTTGGAGGGTTTATTATCCTCGAAATAATGATTCAGTTGTAGTAAACGTTTAGCATATGCAAGGTTGGGCAATCCAACTTGCAGGAAGTCTTCCGTCTATCAATTGTGTCAAGGGATGGGAAGTTGAAGTTAAGGTGTGAGGGGGACAGGCCCTTCTTTCATGAAACAATGAGAAAAATTGTATGCCAACTTCTGCCGGGAAAAGCATACTGCTCTTGGTGCCGAGCACAAAAGGATTGCAAAGGCAGCCCTAACTCTCGGAGCATGCCATCCACTCATTCAACACCCCAATCAACCCACACCACAGGTCGACCCATTCAGCGAGAGAAAATTTCCAAATCCACCGACACCGCCAGAGCCTCATAGCCCTTAACATTCGGATGCAAATGATCCCCGGAATCAAACTCCGCCCGCAGCACCGCCGGATCCTCCGGATCCCTGAGCACGGCATCGAAATCCAGCACCGCGTCAAATAACCCACTCTCCCGGATGAACGTGTTCACCCGCTGTCGCGTCCGCTCCCGTTCCGGGTCGGAATACGGCTGCACCACCGAGGCATTCGCCGGGGTCCCTAACGGCGTGATCGTCGCCCCGAAGACCGGGATCCCGACCGCGTGGAGCCGGGTGACGATCTGGCGATAGGCGCGGATGAGCCGGTCACCGGTGACGGTTTGGTTGGTAGGCGAGGTGTCCGCTGTGCCGATGTCGTTGACACCCTCGAAGAGGATGGCCCAGTGAACTTGGGTGTGGGCGAGGACGTCGCGGTCGATGCGCGAGAGGAGGGAGGGGCCGAGGCTGTCGTGGAGGATGCGGTTGCCGCCGGCGGCCTGGTTGAGGAGGGGGATTTGGGAGAGGGCTGCGTTGGAGTCTGTGGACTGCATGCGGGTGAGGAGGAGGTCGGGCCATCTGGGATTGGTTAGTTTTGGCGGTGGGCCTGATTTTTGTGGTTGTGGGTGTGGGTGTGGTCATGGATGGAGAGGAAGAGGGTTACCGGTTGTTCTTGTTGTTGTCACTGCCTCTCCCGTCGGTGATGCTGTCGCCCAGCAGGGCGCAGGCTTTGACGGTGTTTGGTAGGTAGGCCTCAACAGTGCTTATGAAGTACCTGCTTATCGTTAGTGGGAGATTTCAACAGAAAAGAGTCAAGTACCAATGCTCCACACTGGCTACGGAAGGGTCTGTGAAGTTAGTTATCCCGATTGAGTTCCCAAACTGCATCCACGAAGTCGTGCGACTACCCGGGTGGGAGGTGATGGCTCCGCCTGATTGACCATCTGCGAGATAGATATCGACCGTGATTGTCGTATTCAGCTGGGTGGAAGGTAGTTGAATCGGATCAGATACAGCTAAGCTTCCAGGGGGAATGATAATGCTATCAAAACCATCAAACAGGATGGGTTGAACCGTGTCTGGAACGATGACGCTTGCACCAAGCTCATTCTGCAAAGGAAGGGCAAGAGACACATTGGCGACGTCGAGATCGTCCACACCAAAAGCGTTCGAGAGACGAAGACGAATCGTCGAGGCAGGATGAGTGAGTCGAAGGGTCTGTCGGATTGTTGTGTTGAGGAAGATGGCGGAACTGGAATTCTTTGTGGGGATGAGCTGCATGAAGCGCAACTGCAACGGTAACGGATACACTTACAAATGGCTGCGGAGGAAGATTGGCCGGCTCGGTCAATTGCGGCATGGCAGTCCAGATATCGACCCAGTGTGAGGACTGAGCGGCTGCAAGGCCAGAAACGAGTGCGGCTGCTGCCGTATAGCCAATAATCTGCATGGTGATTCTTCTTGTTTTTTGGGGGTGCTGTGGTGTTCTTACACTCCGCGCCCGTAACATATTTATACATCGGAGGCACCAAATCAAGCATTCTGGCTAAATGGGTAAATGAAAGGGGAGAAAGCTTGACATTCCACCAAATCCGTGCAGATTACTCACAAAATGCGGGGAAACAGAGGAAAGACCTATTCAGGCAATATGTAAGTAGGTGAGAGGTATTGCAGACACGATCGCCCATCTGTGTTGAAGCAGAGTTGTGGAATGATGTCGAAGTTGAACTTTGCTCCATCCCTGCATTAACGAAACCAAGAAAGTAGTGGCCACCCACTTTCTCAATCTAAATTCTTCTGTCGAGGACTGAGGATTTATCTCGATACTTACCTTGTCTTTCACGCAACATAGTCCCAAGATTGACTCGAACCACATTGTGAACCTGTCACTGGTTGCCTCCAATGGACTGGGTGGGTGGGCCTCGAATCCTTGTCTCGAAAGCGACATGTCGAACAGAAGCATTGGGGGATAATATTCCATTCATGAAAATGATATAGTTTGAGGCTGGAATGAAATGGGTCAAGCTACCTGCTACTATGCTCAGAGAGAGTGTAATGTTGCAAATGAGCTTTAGATTGTCATATTGGCGTCATTGGCAGCTGGCATACGAGAAGAGCAGCAAGCGGGCATTGAACATAGAAATGGCCGGGTGGCGCAATGGTAGCGCGCTGCCTTCCGGTTAGGGATGTGGCAGTGGTTGCGCGTTCGAGTCGCGTCTCGGTCGTTCCTTTTTTGCTTCCCACAGCATCCACTCGGATCCATTGCCAGACTACCATCCACCTGGCACTTTAGCCCTATCTATTCCATCCCATCGATCTGCTTTTTGTGTTCCTAATGTCTCATTCAGTACTACGGAGATGTTCTACCTGCAGACGAGAAGCTACCCTCAACGGCTATCGCCCATTGCCATCGAGGCAGCTGATCACATACCGTCATAGAAACAATCAACTCGATTTAACCAAAAGCTCCATCACCATGAATCCTGGAAAGCTCCCTTCATGGCGAACCGGGTTTCCTGGTAACTCCTCTCCTTGGACACCAAAGTCACCTTGCCGGTTCCCAACCACCCCCACCCCCCCGACAAGAAAACACCTTCTCGTTCTCACTGACCTCCACTGACCAAGATCCACTCCCTTCGATTATAGGATAATGAATCTTCAATCTCAACAAAGAGCCTCGATATATTCCGCGCGACATTCCGGGAACTAATATCTCCACAAAGTATCGTCACCAACTATAAAAGAGGCACATTCGCCCAGCGATGGTATATAAGTACTCCATGGTTCGCTATGGGATTATCCTATGTATCATACCACACGGGTACACTTCTAAGCATACACTTGCCTTCTATCCAACAACAACTGATTTCAAGAACTGAACCAATTGAACACCATGTCGGATACTTATTGTAACCAGCCCGGTCAGCGTACTTCGTGCAACTCGCGGGGTCACCGGGGTCAGCGGGCTCAGCAGCCTTCACAGGCACAGCAGCCCCCGCAGGCTCCTCCGGCTCAGCAGCCTCCCCAAGCGCAGCAGGCTCAGCAGGTGCAAGCCGCGGCAGAGGACGAAGACGAGGACGAGGAGGCCGACCCAAATGGGCAGGTGGCTCAGGGAACTCTGCAGGCCCAAGGCGGGCCAAATGCGCCGCACGCAGGCAATGCGGCGAGTGCTGTGCTTCCGCCAAATACACCAAACCTGTCGGCTCCGCCGAACACGCCGAGCGTAGTACTTGTGAACGGGGTAAACGGGGCAGCCCCAGTAACCGGAATGAACCATATTAACGGGGTGAATCCAGTAGCCAGGGCAGCGCCCCAAGTGAACGGGGTTGTCCATGGAAACGGCGTAAATCCAGTAGCTAGCGCCAACCCCCCAGCAAACGGGGCTAACCTTGTTAGCGGGGTAAATCCAGTAGCTAGGGCCAACCCCCAAGTGAACGGGGTTGTCCCGGCAGACCGGGCAAACCCCAGGCCCCCCGGGCTTGTCGCCGTAGGCGGGGCAAACGCGATGAACAGTGGAGTCGACGCCCAAGGTGGTACACAAGTACGAGGTCCGTTCCAGCGGGTCGGACACCCGGACTACCACATCCGCTACATTCTGCTCAACGCGACCACGGCCTGGACGGCCATCCGCTGGCTGGCCCCGGGCCCCGTCGACTGGCACGGGGCGCCGGTGCATGCATTGAATCTGGAGTTCCAGTTGGTGCGGCAACGGTTCCCCGACGCAGTGACGCTGCATGGCAGCATCACGCAGTCGCCCACAATACGTCTATTCCGCGAGGCGCGGCCCTGGGCCGCCGGCGTCGAAGCCCCGATCCGCGATACCCGGGTGGTGGCCGAGAGTAGGGACCTGGACTTGATGGATCCCGCCCATACCCGCCTGATCCTTGATTGGAAGCGTGCCATCCCCACTAATCCGCCGAGCAATCGGTGAGCTTGTAGGTTCTACTGGCGCGGCACGGTCTCCTTGCGATGCCACAGTATATGGTAGGTTTTTTGTTCGGTGGGATAGCTAGTTAGTTAGCTGTTATGATTACAAATCTTTACAAAAAAAAGGAAAAGAAAAGGAAACAATAATAAAAATCAGCTAGAAAGAAACTCTTAAGCACGGTATAATTCACCAGTAACAATATAAAACCTGATGTTAGCTTACAACATTTTAGATCTGTGTATAAACAGTTTGATTATCTATGTTTATGATATAACACCTTCTAGTAAGAAAAGGTAGTAATAGTTTGGATACAGGAATCGCCGATATTATCTATACCTAACCTTTGATATTGTACATGTTATGTACTATACCTGTCGGCGGCCACCATCTGCTCCTATCTCGACGCTGATTCGATAGGGCTACAGCCCGGTCACACATGTCATTCTATTGTTAACTCCCTTCTCTCATAAGGTTTATATCAGGCTTCTGAGGCTTGTAGACTTAGAATCCCCAAGGATTAGTCTTGAAATAGAATCGATAGTGCTTTTGCCTTACCTGACCCACGGTGTTGTGCTCCTTTATAGTTCTTAACAACTAATTCAAATTAGCAATGTGAGCACTCGTTCCTTGGAGCCAAAAGAAGAAATCACTTTTAGACAAGCTTAGAACACTTTATATTTATATCTTATATCAGTCATCTACTACTATATTACACGATAGGTCTTCAAGCTACCTACTTGCTATAAGTAGTAAACTAGGGCAAGCCAGGCAAACAAGATATACCATAGATATTATCAAGACCTGCCTTTTCGTAGGAGAGAACATGTTTTTCTAGAGTATTATTTCTGTATAGATAACTACAGAAACAGATAAGAATTGGTGGTATGGCGGTATGGATATGTCTGGTTATGGGTGATTGTCCGTCAGCCCGCGTCTTCGGATAAGAGATGACTTAACAGTCAGTCTTTTACATGCACTTATACCAGGATAAAAGAATGAATTTCCTCTCTAAACAAAGACATATCGGCATATTCCCCCTCTCTAACGACGTTTGTTTTGATGACCAAACAACCAAGTAGAAATATTCGCCAGTAAGAGGTGTCTATAACTACTATCTGGTTCGCGGTGGATTCGGTCATGCATCAAACCTCACATAGATGCCACACCATACACTGCCTTTCACTTGAACAGCAACCAGCCTGTAAGAAGGACTGAACTAATTGACAGCAATGTCGAACTTACACTGGAACATGCGTGGGAAGCGCACTACGCGCAACTCGCAGAACCGGCGGGACCAACACGATTCTCAGCCTTCTCAGGCACCCCCTGCTCTGCAGGCTCCGGCTTCACAGGCTCCGGCTTCACAGGCTCCGGCTTCACAGGCTCCTCAAGTCCCTCAACCTCAGCTAGCTCAGCGAATGCATCAGGCTATGCAGGATCTGCAGGCTTTACTGCAGGCCTCTCAGGCTTTTCAGGCTTTTCAGGCTCCTCAGGCTCCTCAAGCTCCTCAAGTTGCTCAAGTTGCTCAAGTTGCTCAAGACCAGCAGCCCCAAGTGCACCAAGAGCGCGAGCATTGGGCGCACCTTCAGCAAGTCCCGGAGGATACAGTGTTGCTTAGGGCAATCATGGATCAAGACACCGCAGCAGAGGACGGGCAGGATGGGCAGAACGGGCAAGAGGCTGGTGCTCCGCATGAGCCGGATGATCAGAATGTACCGCCGCCACCACCACCACCACCACCAAATGAAGGCATAGCAAGGGAAGCCCGCTCGGTGATCTGGATCGACCAAATCACCAGGGAAGACGGAACGGTCTTCGACGATCCGCTAGCACCAGCACCCTGGGGGTTCCAGCGGCCCGGGCACCCGGAATACATGGTCTACTGGATGCATCTCGGACCGGCCACCGTGTGCCCGGTCGTCTACTGGCTGCAGTACCCGTACCCCGACTGGAACGGGGCGCCGGTCGACGCGCTGAACCTGGAGTTTCACCGGGTGCGGGCCCTGTATCCCCCAAACGTGACCCTCCACGGCGTGATTTTCCGGGGCCGGTGGGCGCGTCTCTACCGCGAGATGAGGCCCTGGGCGGTCGGCGTCGACGCGCCGATCCCGGACACCCGGCTCGTGCAGGAGAGCTTGGACATCAACATGAAGGAGGAGGCCGGGCTGCAGCTCTTCGCTGCCTGGAGGTACTCCCTGCCCGAGAACGCCCGCCGTAAGTGTAATGATTTTCTCGCCTTTTATTGATGGGCCTCTATTGACCTATGGCTGTCTCAGGCATACTAAACTTTTGCGATGCCAAGAGGATGTAGGCCTATTGGTTCGGTAAGACAATTAGCTGTCTACAAACATATCCAAAACACCAAAAAGCAGGTAAGAGTAAGGTAAAACCAATCAAGAAAAGATAAAGCATTTTGACATTTACAAGTAACGACATAGAATTAGGTATCGGTCTTCAACATGTCAAATTTGCATATACGCAGTCTATCTTCCGTATATCTCCTGTAATCCTCCCAGTAAGAAGCAGCAATACCCAGCTAGGAGCAAGTTTGAAAGATTCATCTACTACCTCCATCTTGCATCAAAAACAAAGACCACTCTTCTTTGATCACTATCGGAGCTAGAAGAATATGCCATCCGGGGGTAAGCGGGTGGCGCCCCCTCTCAGAGCTTATTCCCGAATAGCAATACCTTCGGTCTTGAAAAAAATCCTAATAATCCTAATGTACTTATATAGCTACAGATATACCACAGTATCAAAATGCGATTGATTTAATACTGCCAAGGCGGATTAATGGCTTTGGACTTTTTGCGAGATGTCTTCAGTACGTTCCATATTCATTATCCACAGCCACGACGGGAGGCAAGTCACAGATCTTTCCAATCGTGATAGACAATAGGCTAGTACAGACCAGATAAAGAATGCTGCACACAGTTGAGACATGCTATTGTAGAAATGGCGATTGAGAGACCACGTCTTTCCTTTGACATGGATGGTCTAGCTCTTGCCGTGGGATATTGAAAAGTGGAACAAGCGGTTGCACTTGACCAGTATTGGAATCATGGCAGGGAACCGAAATTCACTTGCGTGGCCGATTTTGATGGACCACGGACAGGGTGGGCCCTGTATCAAGTGTTAGCAACACAATTGAATACTAGAGCGGGAAAGCATCATCCTAAGAGGGTGGGCCGGGGGGAACTTCAAAGAGCTTTCCCCACGGTACTCGAATAGACTCATTACCCCCAAGAATGTCTTCATAAGAACGCCGAAATCCCTTGTCCTGATTGTCATTCTCATTAGCGAAGTAGGATACATCGGCTGCGATGATGGCTGACTTCCACAGGCCCAGACTCCCTTTCTCGTCCCCCTCTTTTACCCCCTGCGAAGTACCGTGAGTAAATCATAGACTACCAGGAGTGAAATTGGAAATGCATGCACTGAACACAGGGGCCTTGGCATCTGGCTCCTCCTCTATTTTACTAGTTGCACCGCATGGGACGGCACTAGCGGAGATGAAATCGATGCTACTCTACCGCTTAGTGGATTTTCTGTCAACACGGAATATACTCGCGAAATATTGTAAAGAAAGGCGACGTTAGAAGTATAGCCAGCACAAAGGATAAAAGGAGCCTATATCCTCATATAGCAACCCTCGTCCCGATCATAGCTCCACAACCTGAGAGTAATCCAGACCCCCTTTGATGACCGCAATGTCCGAATTGTACGCAACCAGAATATTTCGCTGACTGAGAGAGCATACAATATTCCGTATACCCGAGAACCAGTCGTAGGGTATGAAGAAATGCCGGGTATATGAGACACGCTGCTCTCGAGGCTGATCGAGGTCGAAGCTGCTGACCCATGAATGGGTGTCCAGGAAAACGACTCTGGTTTGCATGATGACGCCAATGACATGGGTAACATGATGGCTGAGAGACGCAAGCTTAGCACTGAGTGGATTGCTGTAGCTTGAATCCTCACCATCAGTGCAGATAGCCGGAAGACTAGTCTCCCCTTTCTGTGGATTCCTGGCCTGCCCAGTCTCGGAACTCAGAGAGAGCTTTGTTGCATTGTAGAGATAAAGCCCGCACGTCTTAGCTGGTCCATTCAGCTCGGAGGCCTCGAGGAGGAAGTGTCGAGACCCTTGGCACAAGCATGGGTGGAGACTTTTCCAGTGATGACCTATCAGATTGACGTCCAGGCTGACAGTCGCAACTTCAGACCAGTCACTCCAGCAGTGGACTCGGGCTGTCGCTTCCTCCACACAAATCAGATGATGTTCTGATTCTGGATGCTGAAGCCACTTCCGCATGCCTTGTCCTTCGGGGTGCGCCCTCATGGCCTCCTGCTGACCATCGATGGTCCAAAGATAATCAGTCTGGCGCGTGGATACAAGAAACTTTCCGTCTGCTTCCCCTACCAGAACCTGCGTGATTGCTTGGTTGCTATCGAGGCGAATCTCGAACAGTAGGGCTTCGAGAACCCAGCCTTCCTGACGCCGTCGCTCCATCTTCCACGCGTGTATCTTATTCGACGTGTCAGTACTCATAATAATCCTCCGGTTCGGCCACCAGGCCAGGAGATGGACGCCTGAATTATGCCGGTATAAGGTGCGGAGGTAAGAGCCAGTTTGCATGTTGTAGAGACACACAGATCCATCGTCTTTACTGCAAAAGAGTGCCTGTTGTTGTGTGTCGACTGAGATGGCTACGACTTTGGGTCTCGCATCCGTCGTGATTGCTTCGACAAATGCAATGTGCATGTGTTCGCTGCTGCTATCGCCCGCTGAGTCGTGAACCAAGAGTGCAGACTGCCAGACGTTGCATTCTGAGCCCCTGACATCCGCAAGATGGAGTCCATCTTGGCCAAAAGCCAAATGTCGGATATGTAGCTTCGTTGACTGTACTTGGTACAGCAAGGTCAGCGTTTCGAACTCATATATCTGAATTGTACCCGAACCGACAGCCCCTGCAAGTAGATGTCCATCTGGACTAGCTGTCAATGTGTGACAATTTGCTCGAACACTCGAGATGACTTCGTCTTGGAACGGATTCAAGAGAATAAGCTCTCCATCAAGGTAGGAAGCCACAAGTCGATCGATGGCAGAATTCGGGTTAAACACCACAGCTGTGACCAAGTGGGTACTTGTTTCCCCATTGGCTAACTTCTTTCCACAAGTGCCAAAGTAAGCGTCCTCAAGCAGGTCCCATAGCACTATAGGTCTTCCGCTGTAGGCGACAGCCATCATTTTATGACCGACAGATATCGATAGAGCAGACGGTGCACGCTGTGCGTGCTTGATCATATCAGCCGAGTCATTCCAAGGTTTCCTCGTATTACTGGAAGCATCAGCATCGAGCTTCCAGGACGTGAGAAAGTTCTTAGCAGACGCAACCAGCAGCAGGTTGCCATCAACAACCATATTGATAGGCTGTGGCGGAGACTCGAAGCTCTGTAGGAGCTTGCGACAGCGAATCTCCCAGACTGCGATAGACTTCAGTCCACAAATGATAATGAGCTCTGATGGTCTGGTAATCTCGAGGAATCTTACGCCCTCATTATGCTGTATCACACCCTGTTCTTGACATGTTGCAGTGTGATATATTGCGACCATGCCAGTATTTAGACCCACGGCGAAAAAGCTCTCTCCGTAACAAATCGCGGTGGTCTGACCCTTTTGAAACTTCATACAGGAGAGCCTGTCATCCCAGTTGCTCTTGGGAAGTCCCGACACCTCTACCATTTTCCCGGGGCTCGGTGTCTGATAGATTGTTGATTCACTGGGACAAAAAGGAAGAATAAGCCCGTAGATTGCACTAGGAAATGCAATGAGAGCATCGGCGAATTTCGCTGCTATTCGAGCCAGGTCCATTGCCCAGCCTCTGATTATGTGCAATTCGTGACAAAGCGGCGATCTCTGCAGAGTGCAAGAATCGGCATATTTTGTGAGATGTTTCGCTGTGCGAATGAGATGAGTAATGTCTTTTGTCTTGGCGATCACTTCTATCCAGGAAAGAATGTTTGCTCTCAGGAATCTCATCACGAGTTCCAGTACACTGTCAGCCAGCGGGTCCGCTCTGGATAAGTGATAGGAAAAGGCCGCGCAAGCGTAGGTGGAAAACCTGCTGCGGACCTGGGAAGAATTAGTGATACCGCGCCTGCCCGTTCGAGGCGGTCTCATTTCATCGCCATTCAGATATAAAAGGCAGGCTTTAGCGAGTTGCGTGTTGGCCTTGACCTTATCGACAGCAAACTCGGATTCGATGTCGCCACCGCAAAGAAATTCACGGATACTTTCATGGGTCACCTGCACTCTTTGAAACTTGTCAATCGTTAATAACTGACCACACAGCGCCATTATGCTTTCCTCGAGCTTGGGAAGACTATCACTGATATCTAGCTCCAATGCAGATCCCAGCTCATCGACATGTAACGGCCGGATCGTAGATGTTACCCACGTCAGGATGGCTTTCCCTAGTCTTCGATTCCGCGGCTCTCGAGTCATAGAGTCCAGAGATCTTTGATAAAGGAGCTTTATTTCTCTTGGAACATCGTCTAGGACTTGGCGCATCTCCTGTACTGTATAGGTATTGGACAATTCGTTGAGAACGAGCACTGTCCACAGGAAAGACCCTTGCGACTTCTCCATGATCTTGCTAATGAGTAGGTCCCGATTATCTGTCACATCAATGGCCAATGACTTCGCCCTTTCTTCCACGACAAGTTTGATGTCTGCCAGTGTGTCGGCGGTCATCATCCGCTCAACAGCGCATCCTACTAGACCCGGCATTGAAAGTTGTTTTCCTAGTTCTGGAGTCTCTCGGCTAGTGATCAGAATCCTTAGAGGAATGGACGAATCGAGCTTGGCCAGCATGGTATCGAAGAAGTGAGAGATTGACGCACACTCGTCCAGGGCATCGATTACCCAGTAATGTGGCTGACGTTCGGCCTGGAAAGCACCGGATAGAAATAATTTTCTCCAGACGATACGTGGATCCTCATTGTCGACGCGGACATTGTCATTCCTCATGGCTAGAATTATATCTCGTACCTCAGGATTTATGCATGCCATCTGGAATGCCAGAGATCGCAAGCACGCACTGAGTCGAGATTGATATTTATCTGCGTGCTTGAAGAAATAGAAGCTGCAATTGGCTTTCGTTTGGCGCAGCTGGTTGATGACGTAGCCTGAAAGAACAGATTTCCCTGCTGCAGGCTTTCCGGTCACCAGCAGTATCATCGGAGCATTCTTGTCGAAATCCTTCCACCTTGCGTAGGACGGTTTCATCTCGAACCACGCGCAAGTCCCAGGCATGCGTGTATCATCGACCAGAATGAGGTCATCATCGGCCTGGTCGCAAGAGCCAATATAGTCTCCTAAAGCTTTGATCTGCTCCTTTCGAAGCCCGTCTTTTGAGCTGCGTTCTGTCACTATTAGTGCCTTGTTCCAGTGATGTTGTTGTAAGGCATACCGAGATTGGATATTTTCGCCACCGTAGAAGCTAAGGCGTTCCGCACAGTGATATATTTAGGGTCCTTTAGGCCTTCAAACTTGCAGATCGATCGATGATCCGCACCCAGGGGGATTTGCTGCTCGTCCGGATATCCCAGTGTCGCCGAGTTGGGATCGACAATCAGTGCTTTGAATAGACCCACGCTGACCTTATATGTCTCGTAGAATGACCAAAGCTCTATCTTTCCGGAGTGCTGTCGAAAGTCTTCATTGATTGATTGCAGTGTCTGAGAGCCGCGCTTGAGGTCAGAGACATAGGCCCGGCGAGAATAGGTTATGTGCAGTATATTTTCTAACAGCTTGGCCGAATCAGAGCCTCTATGCGGCGTGGCGAAGAAGTACATGGCATAAAATCGTTTTAACAATGCCTGGTACTGGGGATCTTGAGTCGCGAGCAAGTAGGTCTTCTTGATGACCAGTCCTCCCATGCTATGCCCTAAAAGAACCATGGGAGTTTGCTTGGAGCCCAGATGAGGAGACGTGCTCAGCTCCCCCAGTAGAGACTTTGCAAAGTGGTATATGTCTAGACAATTGTCCTTTCCTTTTGACCAGTCTGAGTCATAACCAAAACTGTGAACTCGCACATGTGTGAAGGCAGGGTCTTTCGGGAGCCAATCTTGCGGCCAATAGTGCGAGACCGACCCTGCTTTGCTCCATGTCTTCCTCGATCCACCCCCGAGACCATGTACAAAGATGAACTCAATAAGAGGCTCTGCTGGAGAGTGAAGCAGATTCAACCCAAGAGGTCCTTTCAAGTCATTGTTACCGCTTTCCGTGGCGAAGAATGATTTCCCGGAGGGATTATCACCAGGGCTGCTTCGACCGTACCGAGTCACAGAAGATGAATCGGTCTCTTTACTGAGGAAACTCTTGATTGACTAAGCATAATTTGGGGGTCACATAAGCAGTGTTGCCGCAAGTTAACATTGCGCCTTTGTAGAGACTGCACACTCACCATGATGTTTGCCGCATCCTGTTTCCCTTCTTCTGGAAAGGACACCGGATTAGGAGACAGATTCACTTTTCTTCCAATTTCGTGTCGCAGAGCTTGTTGCGTGAGGGGGGGGCCATGACTCCACGACATTTGAATGGAATGTGCTAAAATGTCAACGCAGTGAAGGTGGGGAACATCACGAGGTGACAAGGTGACTGACTGGCCATGTAAGCGCCCCTCAGGAACCGGTCGAAGTGATGGCGGGCCGGACCGGCAGCAACCCCGCCGTACTGTACTGTACCTGTACTGTACGGAGTACCCTTACCCACGAAGGCGAGACCGTGGGCGGGGTTGAATGGCAGATGCTTGCTTGTTATCTTGCCCCCAATCACCACGTATTTAGACGACCATACAATTTGACTACCACGGCTCTCGACTTTGTCACTACTGACCGTCTATCTTACCATCGTCTCTCTAATCGTACTCCCTCCTGTGGTGTCTGAAACCTGACACACACACGCGCCACTCCGGTCCCTTCGGCCCTCACCTTCTTTCCTGTCTTCCAAGATCATCTTGCGATGGGCTCGACAACCGCATACCCGCGCCTACCAGCCGGTGAACACAAAGCCTATATGGAATACGCCCTTGATCAAGCGCGACTGTCTCCCCCAGCACCCACCAAGTTCTGTGTTGGGGCCGTTCTAGTTGATGCTGATAAGAACGAGATCCTATCCACAGGGTATTCCATGGAATTACCCGGGGATCGACCCGGGGATCCGGGCAACACCCACGCCGAACACTGCTGCTTCATCAAAATCGCCGACCGGCACAATGTGCCCGAAGAGAGGATTGGGGAAGTGCTCCCGAAGAGTACCGTCTTGTATACCACCATGGAGCCCTGCAACAGGAGGCTGAGTGGCAATCGGACCTGCTGTGACAGGATTATCGGACTGGGGAACGCGATCAAGGTGGTCTACGTCGGAATCACGGAGCCGGAAAAGTTCATCGGCGAGAACACGGGACGGAAGCGGTTGGAGGATGCAGGCGTGCGAGTGGAGTTGATCGAGGGAATGGAAGACCGTTTAACCGAGGTCTCAACTGCGGGGCACGACGGCTGAATTTGTTGTTGTAACTACTGGTTGTTGGTGAACAGTCTTGGCAGTTGAACTACCTCTTAACGTCTCAAGCGACAGTCCTACCCTTGTTGTGACCATGGTTCCGCTTAGAAAGAACAATAAGTATTCGTGTTAGGATAGAATAATGGTATCTCGCTCTGCGAATCCTGAGATAGAAAGTCGAGAAAGAAGCAAAAAAAGCAAAAGAAGGGATGCTCACACTCGGACTCGAACCGAGGATCTCAGCATTACTAGTGCTGCGCTTTACCATCTAAGCCATGCGAGCTGCTTGATGACGTAGTTATCAAAAAGAATGTCTTATGACTACAGCAACTAAGCACTTAAACCTTGAGAGGTAGCACATTGGAAGTGAAAGGAAGGAGAGTCAGTCACTCGAGGGACATCAAGGGCCTCAAACTACTTTGTCTGTTACGTCCAAATTCAACGCTAGATACACAAGGTAGTATCCAGGCGGTAAATAACGTGGCTATACTTGTCACTAATGGTACGGGCACCGGCCTATCATAGCTTCCCCGTACGGCGCGCAACTCCACCATGGCGCTTGCCGCCGGTGTGCCCCCTCGAACGACTAAAGTAGCGATGCTATTTCTGTGACAATGTACTTTTGACCTGTCGCTGATTCGTGAATTAAGAGGACAAATTTTTGTAACGCATTGCTCTGTGCATGCGAAGACTTTCCAGCTCACAACAAGCTACCCAGCGTCAAGTGGCATTTCACAATACATCCACATTCCTGCGTCGAATGCAGAACCCTCGAACCAAGCAAGCTCTTTAGGTGTCATTCAAAGCACAATTCGACACCATGAGTCGTGCCACAGGCGATGAAACAGCCCAAGCAGCGAGAACGGCTTAATTGACCCAAATGTTCTTCAGAGTCAGTAATCAAGATCCGACCCACTGACCCAGAAAACTCCACTGACAGATCTTGCCCCAAGAACTACCCAAAGGCAGTCGCGTCCTCAGCATCGAAAGCCACGGCATCAGCTTTTGGGGCTCCACCTACCGGATCGATACCGAGCTCGCCGACGGGCGCCCTCATTCCTTCTTCATGAAGGTGCTCCCCGGTGGCGAGCGAGCCCGGGACATGGTGCGCGGCGAATTCGAGTCCATGAAAGCGATCTACGCCGTTACGCCGGACTTCGCGCCCCAGCCTCTCGACTGGGGGCCCCTGCAATCCGACCCCGACCAGCACTTTTTCCTCTGCGAGTACCGCGACATGATCAGCGAGATGCCGGATCCCGACCAATTTGCCGCGCGTCTCGCCGCCCTCCACAGCAGGAGCGTCTCCCCGACGGGTCGATTTGGGTTCCACGTGGTCACGCACAATGGCAACCTGCCGCAGAGGACGGAGTGGGAGGATAGCTGGGAGGTGTTCTTCGCCAAGAGCCTGCGGCACGCGCTCGACCTGGAGATCCAGGCTAAGGGCCCCGACCCGGAGCTCGATCGCCTCGCGCCTGTGATCTTCGAGCGGGTGATCCCCCGTCTGCTGCGACCGTTGGAGAGTGAGGGCCGGTCGGTGAAGCCGGCCCTCGTGCATGGGGATCTCTGGTACGCCAACTCCGGGGTGGATGTGGAGACCAACCAGTCTCTGGTTTATGACGCTTGCTGCTTCTATGCGCATAACGAATGTGGGATCCCTTTATCTTTGTCTTCCCTGGGTGCCAATGGTGCCATACTCGCTGGGCTGATGGGTGAGATGCTAACAGAGGCACCGTGCAGATGAGTTCGGTCAATGGCGCCCGATCTGCAATCGGTTTGGAGAAGAGTACCTCGCTGCATATCGGTCTTATATCCAAGTTTCCGATCCTGAAGAGGATTATGAGGGACGTCTCGACCTGTATAAGTTGTGCGTTGGCGGTTCACTCTGGATCCCCACAAGGCAATGTGACACTAACAACAGAAAGGCGATTTAATACCCACGTATCTGCCCTCTTCACAGATAATGAAGGGCTTAGAGTGCAGTAAGACCGCCAGTCTCCAAGGTCTACAACAGAATCTACTGACCAAATGACAGAATGCTAGGCGACATGAAAGATTTGATTCGGCGGTATGGTCAAGAACTCGACGCTAAGCCACTAGTTCGAGCCCGAGTATATTAACTCGAGCTATTCCGAGTCAATAGATAAGAGACAAGCAATGGAAGACAATCCTCAAGCATGTCTTTGACCTGACATTGAGAAAATAGTATATCGACACGTCAAGAACATGAATCTGTTCACTCTGTTGTTGATTTCGTAGTAGGAATGACCGGGGCTTTGAACCTTGGTGTCGGGGTCGCAGGGCCCAGCAAACAATCCAGTATCCGCTATCCACAAGACTCCCATTGCACTGGGATAAATGACAAACAATCGCAAAAGCAACCAGTTCTAATGTCGGAACCACATTATTTTCTCAGTAAGGAGTTGCGGATGTTATTGATCTATCCTATAAATGCTTTGAATTATACGAAGACCCACTTGGTGGCGCATAAAGCCCCACATAAGTGCCACAGATCGTAAGAAAAGTGGGGCTATGTTTTAGTATCGAGCACATCTGTACAACAACAGCCGCGGTGGTGTAGTGGTATTAACATTGCAGAGCCCCCGTACTAGCCTTATGCTAGCGGTGTGGAGTGCAGATTCTGGGTTCGAGTCCCAGTCGCGGCATTACTTTTTTTTTCTTTTTTGCATGCCAGCAAAGGGTGGGCGTCATGGGGGCGTCATTCCGGGGGAGGTGGGTGTGGGTGAGGGTGAGGGGGGGGGAGGGGTTGAGAAGGCTTGCTTGAGATATACGCCAGTTGTGGTGGGGCTGCGCGAGAGAATGCTTTGGATGGTAGAGAGATGTGTGAAAGGGGAGACTTGGAAATATCACACGATACCACACGATGGGTGGGGCTAAGTGAGGTTGAGGAGAGCTACAGCAGCTCTAGCTATTAATGTGATGGCCAGAATCGAATAGAAGTATAGCCTACAGAAGTAGTCCTTCTGTGGTACTACTCCTAGTTGAGATTCTACTTCCACAAAAGTCTCATATTAAGTTACATCAACCCCGACAATGCACATCCTGCCACTCTTGCACCTCTCGAACCTCGACCCGGAGCATCTGATCAAGATACGCATCCGCCTCGGCAGCATAGAAGCACCGCGCCCGAATCAGCGCACCATATTTATAAAGCACAAACGGAATCGGAACACACGCCAGAGCCAAGAATGCCGGTACCGACGCCGCCCACCGCGGCCCCAAGCCCTGATACATCTGATCCGTGAACAAAGGGAACGCAGCTGCAAAGACAGAGTTCATGAGGGTGCATACAGCCATGACGGACGCCGCGTATATCGTATACGAGTCGACTAGATAGTTGTAGCAGGGCAGAAAGATCATCGCAAGCCATACCCGACCGGGACACTGCCCAGAACGGGAACGATCCAGGGAATGCTCACAGGAACAATCGTCCACGCGAACCAGAACAAGCCCACGGGGAGGGCAATGCTGGCGGGGAGGGCGTCCAGGAGACGCACTTCTGGTGGCAAGCGGGCTGTGTCCCGGCAGCGCGTCCGGTTCATTCTCTTGACATATCGCGTATGGTAGACAAGGACGTGGGGGATTGCAAACAGAACACCAACCAGCATCCCGATGAAGGTCAACCCGGTCTCCAGTGAATTCCAGCCCCGGATCTGCTGAAACACGATTGGGTAGGCGGCGAAAGACATGTACGTGATTCCACTGCGGATCGAGCTGTAAATAGACAGAAGCAGAACGATCGGCTCGCGGAAGAGCAGCACCCACGGCCGGAAAAGAAGCGTGCGCAGCTCGGTACCGATCTGCTCACGGCCGTGGCTTACGTCCATGACACTGCGGTAGACGCGGCCTGTGGGTTTCGTCAACCGCCTGGCGCGAGTGGCCAGCAGCACGGGCGCATATGTCTCCGGCAGCAGCCAGAACAAGGCCAGGGTGACTGTTCCCGCGAGGATAGCCATGGCCCCCTGGATCCACCGCCAGCCACCCGCAACCTCGACTGCGGCACCGATAACGGGACCGAGCACGGCAAGGAACGGAACTGCCGCGTAGAATCCCATGGACACCCCTCGGGCCTTGGCCGGGAACAAGTCGGCTATCACGCTCCCGGAGACAGCCACGGGCGCAGACCCCAGGCTGCCCGCGAGAAAAAGGAGAATGATTACCGTCGCAATGTTGGGGGATGCGCCAACGCCCGCGCTGAACGCCGTCAGACACACGCCACTCACCAGCATGATCACCCGACGTCCGTAGGCCTCACTCAATGCACCAAACAGCAACGGGCCCAGCGCGAAACCGAGCACGAACAGTGAGGATCCCAGGAGGGCAACCTCAACTGAAACGTGGAATTCGTTGGTGACATCGACCAGTCCGGCGGAGTATGCCGAGGAGCAGAACGCCACGACCAGGCTGGCCAGGGTGGAGAGCACGGTAATGGCCCATTTCGTGGCGTCGCGGAATTTCATCGGATCGCGGGGGTCTTCAGCCAGCCAGGTGACGATATACGGGTGAGAATCGGTGCCAGAGCCTTCGTATCGGTGGTGCAGGATGTCTTGGGTGATGAAGCCATCGTCGAAGATCAGGCGGAGGAACGGGACTTTCCTATTCAGGACAGCGTACTCTCCGGAAGGTGCCATCTTCACCTGGGTGTATCATCGATGTTACTAACAGTGGCTGCGAGGTATCCAGTTGATTATGGAGTGACTGATTATACTCACCATGATTCAAATTCAAAATCGATCCCAGCACCTTCGAGCATGGCATTTTGCACAACTCATTCCATGCCGAAAAACAGTAATATAAAGCCCGATCTCACCGACCGGCTTCACAGCTGTCGTCATGACCAGATCGACTCGAAAGGGAGATACAAGTCAGTAACATGGAGGCAAGCACAGCAGCAAAACTCAGTCCTTTCAATCTGCCGAGCTTACAGTAGATTGCACATCCCGTGATACCTTCAGTGCACCATTATTCTTATCCTCACAGCAACGCAGCCAATGACCGCTCCCTCGCATGTGCAGGAAACGATTATTAATTCAGTGCTCGCGCCAAGCGGTACGATAAGCTTACACAGTAGATTTGCTTTCATTACCCTTGACTTTGACCCGCCATAGAATTGGGAACGAAGAGCCGGTGGCACGATGCACGGCTGATCTCCAATGTGTACTTGAGAAACTCATCCATATGACCTGGTCTTTCCTGTCAGGCTAAATTCCCCGACTGGCCCCTTGTGGGGTGATAAGAGCCTTGGCGTCTGCAACACAAGCTCTCGATAATCTGTCATTAGAATGCGCCTGGCCTCCGGATCCAAGGTTGTGGGACTGGCTAGTAGATAGTTGTCCTACGGCGCATGATGCGGCAAAAGTCAAGCCGCTTTGCCGAGTCAGGATTGTTGCAGTGCATTTACCCCAACTGGGAGAGGATAGGGATTGGGAATAAAATCATGCATTCGCATAGATAGATCTATCGACCATCCGTGATGATGGATTTCGCGATTCCTTGACACCGACCGGTGGAAGGACTGGCGAATTGTGGACCGGGTTTAGTTATGATTCGTGATACAGTAATGCATTGGATCTCAGCGAAGCCAGAGTGATCTTCAATCTCTCAACATCTAGCACTAGAAGAAAGCTTAATGTAGATGATCTGGCTGCAGATCGACGATGGGGAGCTGTGAAATTTGTGGCCACAAGTGATACACTGCAGAACCTGCGCAGCTGGAAGATAGATGCTAACCAAGAAGCACAGAAGTGAAGCATTGAGAGCACCAATCGCCCAAGTGAGAACAAGATTGCATCAGGTTGATCCCGGGATGATCTGTGATAGCATACCTGGTCAAATACTGCCCAATGCTAATACCCTCAGCATGGGACAGTCAATCGTCATAAACCGCAGTTGACAGTATTGACACGCTGCACTAGCACATTTAAGCATCCGCTTTCACTCATTTAGTCAATGATCTGCCTTCTGTATCTTCGATGCTTACAACAAACCAAGTAAATATCTTCGAAAACTTTGCGATATATAAGCATTCTTCCTGTGTTTTTCTTTCTCTCTTTTTTATTTTCCTTCTCGGGCAAGCTTCTTTTATAGTGCGACAAGGTTCCATTCAACTAACGATTTTGGCTAGCTGCTATTCGTTCATTTGGAGCCATATTGGAAGACTTGCAGCTGGTAAATACTTCTGTCGCTCCCAATCTGACTCTTCTTCAAAGCTCGGAATGTGTTGATGGATGATTGGTGATGGCGTGATGGGATTACGGCTCCAGACTACTCGTGTGGTTGAAGCGGATGACAGGTAGTATACGCGCTACCACTGCTGTGATTGTACAAGAAATATCCTATGGTGCAGTCCTAAGTGGAGCCCTGATGTTTATGTTATTCCTGTTATTCCCAATCTGTGGAAAAGTCTTGCTATGCAATTCTGGTATGACTATAAGTGCGAAAAGTCGACATGACGAACGCTGGGTCAAAGATGGTCATGGTTTGGAAGAAGCGGGCATAACATCAGTGCTATCAAGAGTCAGTCTCGCTCGCATCGAAACCAAAAGAGGAACACCACATACCGTAACATCCTCCCACTTCTCCCAACCGCGTCCCTTCACAGCGGCCAACTCCTCCATCGTGTACTGTTTGCCGGTGGTGAAGTAGCCGGCGTTAATCTTGGCATCGATCTCGACGCGGGAGTCATTGGGGATCATGTCCTCCGGGATAGGCACACGCTCCAAGATCTTAATTCCAGAGTCAACAATGGCGTCATGCTTCATGTTGGACATGGACAGCATCCGGTCGATCTTTTTGATACCCAGCCAGTGCAGAATGTCGGGCATGAGGGCTTGGAAGCGCATCTAATCATAAATTAGCAGTGACCGACCGCAAAATATGGGCAACACCTACGTCTCGAACACCGGCAATATTCTCCGTGCGAGTGAAGTACTTGTCCGCAGTATCACCACCGCGCTTGCGAGCATTATAGACCAAGTACTTGATGACCTCACCCAGAGCACGACCTTCCTTCCGGAAGTAGATCACCACGCCGCTGCCGCCGTTCTGCGCCTCCCGGATCGCCTCCGCGATACCAAACGCCAAGTACGGACGACACGTACAGATATCCGATTGGAAGACGTCGCTACCATTGCACTCGTCGTGAATCCGCAGCGCCAACCGGACATTCTCGTCTGAGACTCTCTCGGGAGGCCCAAAGATGTAAACCGTCAATCCACCTATCGGAGGCAGGAAGACCTTCAGATCTGGGCGCGTGATGAGTTCGGGGTAACTTCCGCCCGTGTGCTCGAAGAGCGTCCGCCGCAGCGTCCCCTCATCCACGCCGAACCGCTCCGCAACCCCCGGCAGGTACCAGACGGGCTCCACGGCGACCTTGGTGACGCGAACCTCGCCGCCGGAGTCCACCACAATCGAACCGTCGACATCGAGCTTGCCCTCCCGCACGGCCTCGCCAATCTCGGCCAGCTTCATGTTCGCGCGCGTGACAGCCATGGTGGGCCGGATGTCCCAGCCAGCCTCCAACTCGTCCCGGTACTGGTTGACGACATCGTGGCCGTAGGGGTCCATGGACACGATCTTGGTCTTGTCGCCCCAGGCGGGCTGCGGAGGAAACTTGAAGGTAGGCTCGCTGTTGCGGAGGTCCGGGCGGAAATCCGGGTCCAGGTCGCCCGCCGCAATCGCGAGGGCGTTGTAAATGCTGTAGCTTCCGCCATGAGCGCCCATAGCGTTGCGGCGCTTGAGGAGGTTCGGGCTACGAGAGACGATCACCGGACCGCGGGATTTGGCATCGGGGGCGCCCCATTCGAGCGGGACGGGATCGATCCCGCTTTGGCCGGGGTAGGTAGTTAGCTATGGGGAGTGTGGGTCAGTGGGTTTCTCTGTAAGAGTTAGGAACTGGGGAACTACACGCCACACGTACGACAATGTGCTTGCTGTAACGAGAAGTAGAAGTCGGCGACTGAACGACGGTTGTCGCCGCTTCAGTGGGCTTGGGGGATGTATCAAGCTGCGGGGTACTGGCAGTCATGGTGACACGGGAGAAGGATTAGAGGATATGAAAAGAAGAGAGAAAAGGAAGGGGGGGGATTCAGTGACATAAATAGGGAAGAGGAGAAGCAGTGGAAGTGGATAAAGGGGAGAAAGAGAAGATGACGATGGGGAATGGAGAATGAGAGTGGGAGGGGGAGGGGGAGGGGGAGGGGAGTAGAAGAGGGAAGTTGTAGCTTGCTCGGTCCGACCGATCAGGCTGCTTGCTGTCCCCCAGTGAATGAAAGCTAAGGAACTTACAGCTGTTACTGGGCATACCAGGGTGCATGTGACTTGGGCCCCAATGCTTGCTTTGCCTGGTTGGATCCAGGCTTTCTCTCATTCTTAGGTTTTCTTTTTCTCTCTTGTCCTGTCTCGTACTACAGTAGGGAAGTTACTCTCCCCCCCCCGCACTGCCTTCCTTGGGTTATTATCTTATCCTACCTGGGTTGTTGGTTATCATGGCTGCGGACCTTTCCTTATCTTCTCCACTGCGGGCGATCAGGGCTCACTGATAAGCACTGATAACTACTACATAGTGCCTTTGTCCCCCCTCTCCCCCTGTTAATCTCTTTATCAACCAAGCCTACTGCTATCCTTGAGATGAGATCCAACAAATCATCTGGGAGGAAGTCGGTGAGAGGCGCGATCCGGGCTGGTCCATGCAGCTGGATCAATCAACAAATTTGCCGCTGCACGATGACGATGGGTATGGGGGCAGCAGGGCGGATGACCAGCCCCTCATTCCAAAGCTTCCCTCGCCTCAAAAACCAGTCGGTCGGTCGCCCGAAACTCTTGGCCGGAGACGTTGGTAGCAATACTAGATCAGTATTCTTGAGACTATTCCTCGAGGATGAGCGTTTATCATCTAGGGCTAGGACATTTCAAAGATAATTTGATAACATCTCCAGTGACTATTATTGGAGTAACTCTCAGCCCCGTCGGCGGTAACTAGATCATTACTAGCGTAGTTTTTATCTTTTATAGATTGAATATGAATTGGATGCTTACAGGTTACGAAATTGATGTATTAATCTCGCATGTAAATTTCCATAGAGCTTCATATAATCTTCAAGGTAAATGATATGAACGATGAGTGCGCTGCATGGTGAACAGCGATCGACAGCGATACGGCAAACCGTAGACACCAAGAAAACAGCTCACATGACTGTCAGGGACGTTCCTGCTTGCTTAGAAGCAGACAGCAACGATCAGGTAAGCCTTAGCATCGCAATATCAAACAAAACTACCGGGAGAGTCCATAGATCATACAGACTCTTAAAACATTCGATCAAGTTTCTGGTTGACATGTTTTCCAATTTAGTAGTGAGTTCTGCGTGTGGCACAATCGAATATCTACTTCACTTAGCTTTTCCCCCATGCCAAGATAATCACTCTCCCAGGGAGTTTCTTGACTCTGGTGCTATGTGAATGCAATGACCCTGTGGGGGGGCTCAACTCCCACAATGCGAATGTCCATGTCCAAGAAGCAGCCACTTTGAAGAAGCCCCTGGGCCGCGGGTGAATGTAGGTACTTACCTAGTAAATCATGAACGATGATTTTGAGAGCTGATCATCGGTCCCGAGTAGTCAGCTCATACCCGGTCTTTCGACCTTCCACCACCCGCGGAGACAGCATCTCAGTTCGTATTATGAAAGGAGTTGCTGCTGTTACTTTCCCCTCGTCCTTGGATACGAAACATCTACTCAACCCAGGTGAGAGCTCTTCTTCATGGGCGTAAGCAGAAGAGTCCTGACACTGCCTAATCTTCTACAGCTCATAAGAGACCCGACTGAAAGCACCCACGGATAAAAACATCAACCAAGATCTAAGCTCAAAGTGTCAGTCGATCAACGCGTGGAAAATGGGCAGTCAAAACTCCCTGGACATCCCTTCTTCTTTGTCAACGGTACAAGTGTCGATAATCGACATCACATACGCCCCCTTCGTGCCAACATGGCAATCCATGGGTCCTCGAATCAAGGGCCTGGGGAAGCGGACTGCTCTCACGTATTCATTCCTCGTCCATCATACGGACGCCTTTGGTAGAGGGTGCAATGTCATCTTCGATCTGGGAATTTCCAAAGACATGTTCGACTTCCCCTGCATATTATGGAAGCTGGCAGAGAAATGGGCGGCGATATGCGAGTTGACAAGTGTGTTGAGGATATCATGAAAGAGCATGGCGTGGCGCGCAACACCGTTGACGCGATTATCCGGAAGTATGGATGCATTTCCCCAAGGGCCTTCCTTCCCCCTTTCGATGGCAGCCGATCTGAACAGGCTCTGATGTCTTATCTGCTGGCAGTCACGCACACATCGATCACGTCGGACGACCCTCCCGTTTCCCCTCCCGTACTAAACCGGTTGTTGGACCCGGAATCAAGGAAGCCTTCTACCCCGGTCGGCCCGCCGTGAAGGAAGCTCCTGTTGCGGCACGCGAGTTCCTCGTTCGGAAAGTGGAAGGACTTACGCCGTTGCAGTTCGACATGGAGATCGGAGGCCTCAAAGCGCTCGACTACTGCGGCGATGGCAGTTTCTATATCCTCTCCCCGCCAGGACATGCCCTCGGTCACCTGAACGCCCTGGCCCGCACCACCGAGGACACCTTCATCTATTTCGCAGGTTACAGCGTCGACCAGCCTTCGGTACTGCGGACCCATTCACCCTCTGACCTTTCCGTATATGTGCACGTGCCGAGTCGCAGTTGCCCCGGGGCCGTGCTCCACGCAAGGGTAAATCGCCCCAAGTCAGAACATCCCAGCGAGGCGCCATCGTTGGAGAAAGAGGCTGCTGCTCGCGAGACCCTTGCGGTCGTTCAGAGGTTCGATGCGGATGATCGTTGTTTGTGGTGGTGGCCCACGATACGAGTATTCATGGAATACTGGATCTATTCCCCGAAATGTCGAATGACTGGAAAGCTAAAGATCTGAAGAGGAAGGATCGCTATTCGTTCCTGGAGGAGCCGGAGCAGCAGGGACCTGAAGGCTCGGGATCGGGAACAGCATGAGCATCGTGTGATGCATCTGGGACAACGTCTATGCATAGGATTTTGGGCTGGATGGACGTCGTATAGGGCATCTTAGCTGAATACGACACTGAAATGCCTAGTCATTTTAACATGTTCACTTCAATTGGTTTTCATCTTTCTCTCTCAATGTAGCCAAGTGTTCTGGTTGTAACTTCTATGTCATTTGTTGTTGAATGCATCCTATAGATTCAAGTGCCTCATTCCACTCAAAGCTCTTAGGTTCAGACCTAATATGTGTCTCGTCCAATCATCATCGCTCTGACGCAGCAGATCCACAGGGAGGCACCTTCAGCCACAGCTTCCTGCCTTCACAAAACTGCAAGGTCTACATTTGACCACTCCATCGGGCCCAGATCTAAATATGCGGCAAGACAAGAGAGTGTTAAAACAGTTTGAATATACGAAGGTGAATAAACAGATACCCCTCCCTTTCGAACAACCCCCACAAAATCACTTCAACAACTTCCCCCCCTCGGAATGCACCAACGTCCCCGTCACAAAGCGATCCTTCATGAGGTAAACATACGCCTCCGCCACCTCCTCCGGCCGCCCAATCTCCCCCACCAACGTCTCCTCAGCGTACCGCTCCACCGCCGCCAACTTTGCCTCCTCATCCCCGAAGTTATCAAACAATTCCGTCAACACCGCGCCCGGACTGACCGTGTTCACGCGGACGGGCGCCAGATCCACCGCCAGCCCGCGCGCCATCCCCTCCACCGCGCCTCCACTCGCCGCCGCGAGCGCCCACCCGCGCGCCGGCCTGTGCCCATTCACCCCACTGGTGAAGGTAATCGACGAGCGGGCCGACACGCGCATGTAGCTCCGGGCATGTTTGGCGACCATCAGGGCCCCGAGCACGCGCACCGTCCCCGCGGCGTGGATGTCGGCCACCGTCAGCGTGGGGTCCGTCACGGGCTTGAGCCCCAGGGCGTCGCCGGCGGTGTACACGATATGGTCTAGGAGGGTTTTTTCTGTGGCGGTGGAAGTGGTGGTGGTAGTGGCCTGCTCGAGGAGGCCGCGCACGTGGGTCTCCAAGGTAGCGGGGTCGCCGAGGTTGCAGGCGCATCCCCCGGCGATGCGCGATTGAGATCCCGGGTCTGGATACAGGGTTCTCAGTCGCGTGAGAGCATCGTCCACCTTGCTGGCCTGCGAGCTGGCGAGGAAGACGTTCGCCCCGTGCTCGAGCGCTGCGCGCGCCACGGCGAATCCGATTCCGGAGGTCCCTCCGATCACTAGGATCCGCGTGCCCGCCAGCTTGTTCACGGAGATGGTGTTGGTTGGGTTCATGGTTGGTTGGTTGGTTTGGGTGGGAGGTTGCTTTTGATCGTGCGATTGTGTATTGTATCAACTGTCGAGGTTCACTTGGGAGAGCACCTCGGGGAAGGGATTGGAGAGGGCGAGATGGTTTTTGCGTACTGTACTGGACCGTTGCTGGGATTGTTGCTGGCTGACTGGGTCGTGCCACCTTCTTATGCTGTGCTAACACAGCCCTGGAGACATGTCAACGGCTCGTGTTAACTCCGGGGCGGGGATAACAGAGCCATACTTGGTTGGTGGTTAAGTCGGATCTGTATCTACCAGAAGGATCCATCTCGTATTGCTAATTCCCGTCAATTGAGCTTCGGTCAGAAAGGCCCCCGTGGCTGGTGACTGGCGCATGCACCTGGCGAATGTCCGTTTAGCCGGCTGATGTCTTCAACGTGCTACGATGTTTAGAAGGTGCAGTTATCTCAAAAAGGATGTGCCATTAGTAAACACCGCACTGAATCTTCTAGCTCGATTCTTATCACCGTAATCTCCGGGGGATGCTAACTCCGCCAAAGGATATCTGAGCACCCCTGGGGAGCAGTATACACACTTTCTGCGGTTGGCAGTGCTGCATATCTTAAACGCAGTATTGAAGACTAGACATCCATATTCAAGGGAAGAAAGGGTGGTAAGACCAAGCACTATAACAGCCGCCAATCATATAATCCATGCCCTATCCTTATAGCTGATCCCGAGGCTGATGCGTCTCTCCTCCCTTCGCCTTCCCCCAATCTTTCATAAATGCACTGATAAATCGACACGCACGTTCTATCTAAACCGCAGAGAGACGTTACCAAGCACGTACGACCACAGGGTGTGGAAAATAGGGCTTCCCGTCCGCTCAGCCGTACTCAAGCCACATATTGAACGCAACCGACTGGAGTTTGAGCCTTTTCTCGGTCGCTGCTTAATGGGTGAGCAACGCTAAGACGAAGGGTGAATGCGGGTGATTTGGCTGCTTTTGTCAAGAGCTTGGGTGAGCAGAATGACCTGACTACGCTAATAGGGTGTGCGTCAACAAGTAACTAAGCGGACCGGCCATCTAGGCAGCGAAAAAGAAAAGATTGAAGTTAGAAATGGCGCTTGACCTGGTTGTATATCCCTTTTTCTATTGAATTGACTTATCCTTCATAGTATAACTTGAGAAGTAATCCTGCTCTAAAAATAAGTATACCATGCAATAATGACTCAGATCTTTGAGTAGATGATAAACAGGTGGTGACTGCTGACTAGTCTAGAAACAATACAACAGTACCTCTTATTCACACCAAGGGTATATCCTAGATCCTTAAGAAGATAAAGATATAGGAGAGAATAGTAAAAAATATATTAACCTGCTTTATTCATAAAAAATTGAAATGTAGTACATGACAACGCCCGTTCCGAAATCCAAGGGCAACTGTATTATCCTTCACAGCATAACTTGTAAACGAGCGATATTCAGCAGTTAGCCACAGGACTCTTTCACCTCGTAAAGATATCCAAGAATCTTCGATAGATAAATGAGAATTGAACCTAGGTTTGTTGAGGATTGAAGAGAGCAATCTAGAATGGCCGGTCTGCGTGTGCTGTTCAACTCCTGTGGCCGCGTCCCAGAGTTTGATAGTCTGGTGGTCGCTTGACTTCGTGACTAGTATATAGCCGTCTGGCGAGAAGGCTATAGAGCGGACTAGACTTGAGTAGCTGAGTGTGTACCGTATGATACCCGTAGTTGTATCCCATACCTTGACATTGTGATCATGCGAGCCTGTTGCTAATACACAGCTGTCTGGTGAGAAGACTACCAAAGAAACCCGGCCGGAGTGGCCAGTTAATGTATAAATCTCAGTACCTGTAGCTGTATTCCAGAGCTTAATAGTATAATCACTCGAGCCTGTTGCTAGAATGCGGCCGTTAGGTGAAAAGGCCATAGAAAGAACTGGGCCAGAGTGACTGTTTAGTTTACACTGCTTAACACCTCTGGCTATGTCCCAGAGCTTGGTAGTCTGGTCATCTGAGCCTGTTACCAGCAGGTGGCTATGTAACAAAGGCGAGAAGGCCAGGGAGCGGATTGGACCAGAGTGGCCAGTCAGCGTGTACTGCTCAACGCCTGTAGCTGTCTTCCAGAGCTTAACAGTAAAGTCGCGTGAGCCTGTTGCTAGCATACAGCCGTCCGGTGAGAACGCCACAGATAAAACCTGGCTAGAGTGGCCCGTTAGTGTGTGCTGCTTGAAGCCCGCTGCTAAATTGCTGAGCTTGATTGTGCGATTATATGAGCCTGTTGCAACCGCAGAGCGGACTGGGCCAGAATGCTCAACTCCTTGGGCTATACGCCAGAGCTTGATAGTACAGTCACTTGAGCCTGATGCCAGTATACAGCCATCTGGTGAAAAAGCCACAGAGCGGACTAGGCCAGAGTGGCCAGTAAGTGTATATAGCTCAACACGCTTAGATGTGTCCCAGAGTTTGATAGTACGGTCACTTGAGCCTGTTGCTAGTAAACAGCCATCTGGTGAGCAAGCCACAGAGTATACTGGACCAGAGTGGCCAGTAAGCGTGTCTAATTCAACACGTTTGGCTGTATCCCAGAGTTTGATAGTACAGTCACTTGAGCCTGTTGCCAGTATACAGCTATCTGGTAAGAAAGCTATAGAGTAGACTGGACCAGAGTGGCCGGCTAGTGTATACTGTTCAGTATCTGTAGTTGTATTCCAGAGCTTAATAGTATGATCACGTGAGCCTGTTGCGAGTATGTAGCTATCTGGTGAAAATGCCACAGAAAAGACCCAGTTAGAGTGGCCAGATAACATCCGCTTCTCGATACCTGTAGCTGTATCCCAGAGTTTGATAGTATGATCAGTTGAGCCTGTTGCTAATATGCAGCCGTTCGGTGAGAAGGCCACGGAGCCGACCACTTTAGAATGACCCTCAAGTGTCTGTAGGTTAGAGCTCCATGAGTCTTCCACTGCCGTTAAATCTATTAATTGATGCATGTTCTTGTCGTAGAAGATCTTCTTTATAACACTTTTCGTAGGTGCGAAGACAAGTCCAGCACGGTAGAGTTGTAGTGGAGCAATTCCTGCGATATAGCTATTTTGACGAATGAACCTTTCTGCGTCGTAAAGAAAACCTGCAAGCTCAGAACTTGAATGCACCTATATAATAATCAGCTAGGTTTTAAAGTAAGCAAATAGAAACTTAACCATACTCTTGAGTTCAAGATATTTATCAATCCCAATGCTTCTGATATTTCTCCTATGAGAGCTAGTACCTCCAACCAGTGAAGAAGGTGCTCCTGGAGAAAAGAGAGAATATCAGAGTTAGAGATCTTATCTTTGCTCTGTTTAAGGTGTCGAAGCCAGAAAAAACAAGCGTATTGTATATCCAAAGTAAGATATTTCTTGATAATCTGAAGTCTGATATTCTTATACTGTATTCCGTAACTCTCCAGCTCACAGATATTCTCTTTGAGCTTGGCTTTCATAAGCCGGAGACAGTATGATGCTATTTCCCCATGTATCTCTTGATTATCGATGAAAAGTCTCTTTTCTGTTGTTTTCAAGAGATGATCCTCGAATGATAAACGCAGAATTTGAACCGGTGCCTCGAGATTTGCCGATGTATCAAGAGTAGAGTGAAATCTTTGCAGTTGACTGATGATTTTCGTATCGGGTATTTCTTTTAGCCGAGCAGCAGCTCTGACTGAAAGTGGAGTAGCGAGAAGAATAATGATTCCAATGATACTATAAGAATCTTGCAAGATTTCTATAAGTTTATTCTGACTCCTGGAAGCATGATGTCGATCTAAGATCTTTTGACATATCATCTGCATATCAGATCTTGATATCATGGCTCTGTCTTCAAGAACGGATCTGAGACGCTCGTCCGGAAGCTTGTATCCATCTTCAAGAAAACAACAAATTGTGGCGGCAATGATGAACAAGGGAACTGCCATAGTTACCAGTTTCTCAAAGTTGTCATCTCCGGGCGAAACCGGTGAAAGTGAGCATTGCAGGGAGGATGGATGCCTCCAGATTTGGGTAAATTCATATTTTAGGAATAACCGAATATCGTGTTCAGTTACGGGCTCTGGCAGCTTATAGAGGATCAAGTCTTGGTGATGCTCGTTTTCCTTGAAGCCTAGGCGAATAAGGAGCTCGGATCGACTAGTCAGAAATATTCGAGGACGTACTGCCTGAGACTGCTGAAGTGCTGGTAGAAGCCGGATGATCAATTTGATATCATCCTCTTGGTCGCATTCGTCTAACGCATCGATCACAACAACAACAGTTGTAGGTTTTGCTGAATGTAAAGTAAGTAGTGGGCTAAGGAGCAAGTCATTAAATTGCTGCTGAAGTGATTTGAAGGAAATATCTGGCTTTTCCTTGACCGCTTTGAGAACACCTGGTGCTAGCTTTGGATAGTGCTTCACTAGTTGTCCAATAATTGTTGAAATCAGATATCTTGCGGTCGCACGGTCTGCTTCACCTTTCTTAAAGAAGAATGAGGCACCAAGTTCTCCTTTCTTATCAAGATTTCTTGCAAGTGTTTGAGCGATAGTTGATTTTCCTGTTCCAGCTATACCATTCAACCAGAAGATACACTTCCCATCTATCGATTCAACCCAAGTTTCGACTTCGTTGAGTAAATTGGTTCGGGTTCCGGGGAGACATTCTTCATGCTGATTTCCATGAGAGTCAAACAATGCATCTTGGACAACCCTCAGATTTTGCCAACCGATTGTTTGGTTGAATTGAGACTGAATTATACTTCTTATATTAGCTGTGTATTCGTTTATAATCCTCTACCTAGCTTTACCTAAGTGTGTCTTGTGCTTCTTGCGTCTGCCGCTCAACTATGAACTGTCAGTAGGTGTCTGTATAGAAAAAAAAGCCGGAAGATAGTAAAGATGATTAGGGCCGTATGACTTCTCTCCTAAAACCATATACTTACCCTTTTCCAATATAGCTCTTGCTGACACCTCGGTATCAATAACACTAGGCTGAATGCATCCCAAAAATTCCTTTGCATATGCAGCGGCCACAGTTGCCGCATAGTTTTGCCAGGTTTTGTTTTTTGTCGAGTCTGCGTAGTCACATATACCTCGGATAACAACACATGGAAAGTCATTCATGAGCCCAGCTGCCTCCATTTCCAAGCATAGCACATGCCCACCGAATGCTTTGTCGATAGAGTCTCGGGAGTGAACATCTTTGATAACTTTGTTCCCGGATGCGATAAGACCATAGTGGATTCTTACTTCTCTTCGGATTCTTGCTCCTTCTGGCGGCTCCGATGGTTGCTTATATTCCTCATCTGGATTAATAGTCCATAAACCAAGAAGATATGCGACAGTGGCGATGATCGCTCGCCAAAAACTGAACAGCAGGTGGGTTCTGGCCGGAGACTGATCCACTTTTCCCGATGTCAACAATAAGTCCTCCAAGTACTCACACCTGGTATAATCTGGCGCCAGTCGTGGGTATCGCCTTTCCACGTCATTCAGATACTCATTTATCTTCGATCCGTACATTTCATGATTAGCCTTCAGCTGATTCAACGCGTTGAGCAGCGTGTTCGGAGGTCTGTTTAGTGAGCCCGTGTGAATAAACTGCCCACCCCGTTCCAGCTTGCCCATGTCATATTGTACTACCCCGTGATAGTCAGCAACAGGTTGGCTGACCACCACGTCGCCTAGATTAACCTTATTCGGGATTCCGCCGCCAACTCCTACCATAAGCCCAAATCTGATTGACGGAAATGTGTTTATCATAGAGGTCGCGACAGTCGCAGCAGAGTTGGTTCCTATGTTTGGTAGGCAAGCAATCACGATATTGTGACTGCGTATTGAGCCAAGGGTATACGCATTATGGTCATTTCGAGGAGTCGGAAGAGGTTCGTGCTCTTCGTCCAGCATGACTTTGGCTGCGACTTGCTCCTTTGGAAGAGCGCACACCCATCCGATAGTATAGGCATTGTAAAAGAGTCGTTTTCGGCACGGGAATGTCTCAGGACTAGTGATGCTTTGTGCTGATAAAGATTGCTCTTGGGCCTCTGCCATGTTGAAACAATTCAAAGAAGCAGAGTAATCACACGCTTGGGATAGTACTTGATAGATCAATCGAGCATTCGCTCTATCAATACAATCAGAGGCTTTGGCCGAAGATTAAGGAAGAGGTCGCCAAACTTAATGGTCAACGAGTAGGCAGACGTCAAGGAGTAACCTTTCTCAGAGGCACGAGGTAAGGGAGTAAGAAGGATAGAGCAAAGCGAAATACAATGAAACTGGTCAGCTCAGCTTTAATATACTTGTCTGAGCTAAGAGAGGGGCACTTTTCAGCCCCATCATCATGTGACTCCAGCCCGCTGTGGGGCAAGCGATAGATGTCTCTTGCATGGTTGTAAGGCGCGATGCAATGCTCTCGACTCTCTTCATGCTTCTGATTGAATTTGTCGTCTCCTCAGTCATTTCTCTCATCATCCTTCTGGCAAGTAAAAGGCTGAAAGGGCTTCGTTACAATTTCGACATATCCGGATAACGCGGCCTGGTCAATTCTACTGTAGCTAGAGGCGTTTTGTTTCCTAATTTATAAGCCTTCGGATCTATTACTTACTTCGTCTTCTTTGTTACCAGACTAAAAGAGTAAGATTACGTGTTATCTAGACTCAAAGTAGATAGTCTTGAGTTGGTTAGGTGGCTTAGCAGTCTTAGTATATTAACTTACACCAATCAATATTGCTGGAGAGAGATTCGGTAAGAATTAAAGTTTCCATGGGTGACATTGCGTGAACTGCCGCACAACCAGTGCGATAGGTCACCCTCTTTAGATAACTCAGCCCTCGGTTGCGGGACCGTAGAATGGCCTCACCTGCTAGCTCACCCGAACGGCACCCACCCGCGTTCTGGCCGCGTTCAAGCCACACGCCGGGAGGTTAGTAGTTGGGTGGGTGACCACCAGCGAATCCCTTCTGTTGTATGTCTTTTTGTCTCGGTCTTTGGCTTTTTGACTAGCCGATCATGGCCTGATTGCGCTTTCACGGAGCTCAGTCGGGCTGTGCCTCAGCGCTGGGCTGGCATATCTACCTACCCTCCAGCTACAATAAGACATGACACAAACGTGGGACTATGATGTCCACCGACATGCGCGAGCATCGGTGAAGCAACCAAATCACATCAAGTTCCACCAGCTGTTACAGCATCTGCTGCAGCAGATTCTATTGGCCAGATCTCGGACCGGTCTGGATGGTTGTTGATGTGAATTGATATGAGATATCTCGATTGGTCCGGCAAAACAATATCTCCTGTCAACATCGCGCCTGGGAACCCCCCCAACTTCTATATTCAGACGGAGGGTCAAATGGACAACAAGACCACCCGGTGCCCACATGCTCGGACCAATTGATTTAAAGCAGGAAGAAAGCGGTTTGTTCGGGTTCAGTGGGAATCGCACTGCCGGGCTCAGTCCATGGCCACATTCTATCCTAGCACTCCTCACCTCCGTACTGCATATCACATGTCTGACAATACATCGCCGTCCATTACAGAGAAAAACCTACATCGAAACGCTCAAGCTCTGCATATCTATTCTGGGGTTGTTGGTTTTCAGCAACTCAAATATGAACTGGTATCTATTAATATGTGTGGTGTGCAATTTTTCAGCCATCATGGAAAGATTCATAAAACTCATCCGCAGCCCATACAGCAGTACAGCCCAGGCGTTAAACCAACAATTTGCTCCAACCGACTAGTAATCCGCGGCAATCGAACGGTGACTATCAAACAGCAAGGGCAGAGGCAGTACAATCACCGGAAGCCGGCCTGGGCACGGGTGTTCTTGAGCGTCTTCTTGATGATATCCTCCACCTCGTCCCAATCCTTGGTGTCAATCCGCTGGATGCTGGTGTTGAAGTACTTCTGGATCTGGTTGAGCATCTCCCATTCGTCGCGGTTGGAGATGAACGAGATCGAGACACCCACACGACCGAACCGACCGGTACGACCGATACGGTGAAGGTAGGTCTGGAAGTCCGCTTGGCGCGGAGCGCGAGGGTTGGTTTGGTGGATTTCAGGGATGTCCTGATCACGGGAATTAGCTTGCATGAACTTGAAGATCACATCTCAAATTGCTTACGTAGTTGATGACCATGGAAACGGTCGAAACATCAATACCTCTGGCGAGGACGTTGGTGGTGATCAGAACCTTGGCTTGTCCCGCACGGAACTGGTCAATCACGGCATCACGCTGCGAGCCTTCGATACCACCGGTCAGGGAGGCAACGGTGTGACCCTCGGCCACCATGCGCCTTTCGATTTCGACAGCAGAGGCACGGGTCTAGCGAGGATTAGCAGAAACCCTGTGGCACGAGTCCAAATCCACCAACCTTGACGAAAATGATGGAAGAGCCAACGGTGAGAAGACCATAAAGCTGAACAAGGGTCTGGTACTTCTCTTCCTCGTTGGCGCAGTCAAGATACAATTGCTTGATACCCTCGACGGTCAATTCCTCATGCTGAAGGGTAATCTCGTTCGCATTCGGGGCGAACTTGGAAGCGTATTCGTGGACGTGCGTAGGGAAAGTGGCCGAAAAGAGCACAACCTGAATATCCCTGGGCAACAAACTGCGAAGCTGTTAGTCATCACAGTATTCGGAAGAGGAATGGCGAAACTGACGCCTTGACACGGATGCACTGATCGCCAAGACCCTGCTGGTCAAGCATGTTATCTGCCTCGTCCAGAACCAGCACCTTGAGCTTGTTGGCCGTGATGGTGCGTCTCTTGATCATATCGGTAACCGTTCCTGGCGTACCCACAACAACGGAGCACTCCAATTTGGTCGGGCGCGCATTGCTATCCGCAGGCACAGCAGTACCGATGAGGAGGTTCGGGAGGAATTGACCCATGACCTGGATGACACCCACGATCTGACGCGCCAACTCGCGCGTAGGGGCCAAAATCAGGGCCTGTGGGGTCTTCTGCAGTTGCTCCGTGCTGAGGTCGATGCGGCTGAGGACATTGAGCGTGAATGCGGCAGTCTTTCCAGTACCCGACTGGGACTGGCCGACCAGGTTCTTTGCGGGGTTGCCGAGCAGAAGAGGGAGAGCTCTTTCTTGGATCTTAGACGGTTTGCGGAAGTTCATAGCCGACAATCCTTGCAAGATACGAGGATCGCTGTTGAGCAAACGGTGTTAGCCCCAAAGGGTCATTCAGTGATTTGATTGACATGTGACCTACAGGCCAAGGTCCTCGAAGTTCTTGACTGAGAACAGAGGATTGTTGGGGTCGGCTTGCAGATCGCTGAGCTTGACCTCCACGGTGTAGTCGGGTTCCTGAAGATCGGAGCCACCCAAGGCGGCGGGCGCTCCATCCGTCTGATCGATTTCTTTGGGGGTTTCGGTGGACTCTGCGTAAGAGGGCTGGATTAGCGTGGTTCTGGATGCGATCGACCGCGATGGAGGGTGACACAGTCGCCGGGTCGAAGGAAGGTATGCCGCCGCGTGTTGTCCATACCTGCAGGCTGAGGTTCTTCGGGCTTGGAAATGCGGTCGGCGAGAGAGCCGCCAGCAGGCTGTTCGTCGGAGGCCATGATAAGCTCGTGAAACGACAAAGGTAATTTGAGGACGGTGTGTGTTGTGAGGAAAAATAATAAAAAGGCTGCTTGATTCCAGACGGAAGAAGGAGGGGAGCAGCGGGGTAGGTAATTCTATTTAAACCAGACGCGCGACGAAGGGCTGGCTCCAAACAGCGACTCAAGCGAACACAAGGCAGAGGTGGAAATCCTTTCAAGGACGAAGAAGAAAGAGAAGGAGAGAGAAAGATTTACTCGGGACCAACTCGGGACTCAGAGCAATCGCGGTAGCAATAAGGCAGTAATGGGTGTTCAAGTTGCTATGCTCATTTGCTCATCACCAGACAATGACGGCGGAAAAACCAGTCCGGACCGCCTTTGAGCTGCGCTAATCCTGAATAGGAAGGAGAACCGGAAGGCGTCGTGATGCCCATTGTGGTAGGCGGTGAAAGGGCGGTGAAAGGGCATCGACGGTACGGTACCTTACTCTAGTGGCATCAGGCTGAATGACGTAGTGCTCCAACGTGGCCTGACAGCCTCGTTCGGTATTGTCATCGGGCAATCTTCCGTGGCTTTTACTGCATCCAGCCTAAGCTGTGTTCTTCCCCGCTTCCTTCCTTTCGCAGTGATTGATTGATTGCCTGCGTCTCTCCTCTCTTCTCCAAACTATCATTAAGTCTTAGTGATTGCTGTCCACTTCGGCTTCTTCCGCTGCTGCTCCGATCCCTTGCCATTGACACCGGTCGCGCACCAGGCTTCCCTTCTCCGGGTGGTTGGTGATTTCAACGTGCGCCTGCTTGGGTTATCTTAGGCCGACACATTCCGGTTTCTCCTGGTTTCGCATCCCCGTCCTCAGTCTTCTGCGCCGTGATCTTCGGGCAGCGAATTAGCCGTCAGCATGGCAACCCCAGATGTCGCCCCTCATTTTGGGGCAGAACTGAAGGTATGATGATGTCTGCAGTTAGGGCAAACAACCAGTATTGTCGCTAACAGCAAAATTGAACAGGATGCCTTCAAACCAGTCAACAATTGGGTATGTCCCTCCCCGCATATTCGTCCGCGCGCATTCACCCCCACGACCACGGTCGATGCGACATTCCGTGCTAAGACATCGCTCCCCAGGTTTCCCATGGCATCGGGTGGTTGGATGAGATACAACAGTTCTACCGAGAGCGCAGTGTTATCGAGAAGGAATATGCGGCCAAAATGACGGCGCTGTGCAGAAAGTACAACGACCGCAAGGCGAAGAAGATCAGCACGCTGAGTGTAGGAGATACTCCAAGTATGACCCCGGGCTCGCTCGAAAGCGCCTCGCTCACGACATGGACGACGCAATTGACTGCGATCGAGGCGCACGCCGCCGAACGCGACCAATTCGGCACGGATCTGGTGGTCCAAATAGCGGAGCCGCTCAAACAAGCCGCAGCGCAATACGAGGAACTGCGGAAGTGCCACGTCGACTTTCATGCCAAATTGGAGAAGGAAAGGGACTCTTCTTACAGCGAGCTTAAGAAGGTCAAGGGGAAATATGACGGTGCATGTCAGGAGGTGGAAGCGCGACGGAAGAAAATGGAGAGCTCGTTTGACCACAGCAAGTCCAAGGCCCAAGCGGCCTATCAGCAGCAGATTCTGGAAATGAACAACGTCAAGGTATGTAGCCAATCACAGCTCCTATCGCACACTAACAGAAGCAGAACACCTACCTCATCAGCATCAACGTGACGAACAAGCTCAAGGAGCGCTTTTACCACGAATATGTTCCCGAGCTACTCGATGTAGGTTTCTTTCGCCCAGCCTCAGCTATGACACTAACGTTCGCAGGGGCTGCAAGACCTCAACGAAACCCGTGTAGCGAAGCTGAATTCAATCTGGGCGCAGGCAGCTCAGTTGGACAAGAATTACCTGACCAAAAGTGTGGAGCACATGTCCAATCTCCTGCACGAGATCCCCCGCAACCTCCCTCATCTCGACTCGCTCATGTTCTTGCGCCACAACACCACCCCTCTTCAAGAACCCGCCAATGTAGGCTTCGAGCCCAGCCCGGTCTGGCACGATGACGAAGCCCTCATAACCGACGAGACCGCCAAGGTCTTCCTGCGCAATCTTCTCAGCAAGAGCAAGACACAGGTGCGCGATCTGCGAGTGGAGACCGATCAGAAGCGACGAGAGGTAGAGGCGGCCAAGAAGGTACGCGAAGCGATCCAGCAGGGCAGGGACAAACGGAGCGAGGTGGAAGTAGTCCGGTCCATCTTCTTCCTGCAAGAGACGTTGCATGAGCTTGACCGCAAACGCCTGACGGCCGAAGTTGAGACATCAACCATCATGTCCGTGGTAGGCGACCTGTCGCTGGGGGCGCGCAATCACAATTTCAAGTCGCAGACATTCAAGATCCCCACCAACTGCGACCTTTGCGGTGAGCGCATCTGGGGTCTATCAGCCAAGGGCTTCGACTGCCGCGACTGCGGTTATACGTGCCACAGCAAGTGCGAGATGAAGGTGCCGGCAGAATGTCCGGGCGAGCAGACCAAGGAGGAGAAGAAGAAGCTCAAAGCCGAGCGACAGGAGCTGGCCAACTCGACCCCGACTCTCGACCTGGAGCCGTCATCATCCAGCGGTCCAACGGGGGCGCCCTCGCTCACACGCAAAGACACCATGAACTCACTCAGTTCCGGTTACGCCGTCAGTGCCAACCGCTCCTTATCCACCGCCACCAGTCTCTCCCCGTCTACAGCCGAGTTACCTGCATCAACCCCAACACCACCAGCTACAGAGACCAAACCCGCTGCCGCGGCCGCCTCCAAGCGGAACCGCATCCTTGCGCCACCGCCGGCGCAATACATTAACAGTCCTCCATCCACCCCGACCCTCAGTTCCAAACCGGCTTCTTCCGAACCCCGCGGGAAGATGCTGTATCCGTATCAAGCACAGGGCGATGACGAAGTCACCGTCCAAGAAGGGGACGATATCGTTATTGTAGAGCCAGATGGTAAGATACTCTTGTCGCATCCTTCATCTTCTCACATCCTTGATTCTGGAATATCCAGGCTAATCACCACATAAAACAGACGGATCTGGCTGGCTTCGCGTGCGAACCCCGGCAACCGGAAACGAAGGCCTCGTCCCGGCCTCCTACGTCGAAGCCCTTCCGATGGAACGCCCAGCATCAACTTACTCAACCAACTCCTCGGCCTCGGCCTCGGCCTCTACCTTGCCAGCAGGCGGCAGCAAACGCATCGGCCCCGCCGTGGCGCCGCGCCGGGGGGCCAAGAAATTGGCCTACGTGGAAGCGTTGTACGACTACGAGGCCCGCAGCGACATGGAATGGAGTATGAGCGAGGGGGACCGGTTCGTGCTGGTGAACCGGGATAGCGGGGATGGGTGGGCGGATGTGGAGCGGGGGGGCGTGACGAAGAGCGTGCCGGCGAACTATATTCAGGATGTTTAGACAGGTGGCGGAAACAAACGTGGGGATTCCAGGTACGGAGGGTCCAGGTGGAAGGAATTAGGGAGGTAGCATGTGGCTTTTGGGCAATAGACAAGGCTCACGGATTGCTAGTTGTCAATTGGATTTGGTTGGGGGGTGAGATGGCGGGAGATGCAGTACATATACCACAATACATACGGTGCTCCTTGCTGTTATGCTGTACATAATCGAGCATAGCTAAACTTGTACTTTTGTTTCAGGGACTTGTCTTAAGCTAGCGTGACGGTAATTGGAGAATACCACCCTTGGGATTTAAATTAGGAAAGGCCGGCCGCGCTCCAGGCTGTAACTAGGTTGTATAACTAGGCTTGGGGATGCTATATTCGATAGCTGTACTTGATCCTCTCAATCGTTCTCCCCTTCCGCCTCCTTGTCTCGTTCTCCCAACTCATTTCCCATCTCAGCTCTAAAGATTCAAGTTCATCGATTCTTTCAGTCGTCTTTCCCTGCTATCTTGCCATGCACTGCTTCGTAGTATTATAGCTTCCGACTCCGTGGCCATGGGCATCCTCACCACAGTACCGATTCCATAGCGAGGGGTATACCCTTGGCACCGTAGTAAGGAGTACTACAGAGATTGAGAGATCGAGATCAGCGATAGGTGATATTCCCAGGGTTGCATTTAATCTTCTTTGTTGCCGGGAGGCGGGAGGGGGATAATCTTCATTGCTCGCAGACAAGATCTGCTGACTGTATATCGTATTGCTATATACCTATATCCTGCTGTAGGTATTGCGCAAACTGCGCAACAAACCTATATATAAAGCCTGCGATACGAAGGCGCGAACACCCCCGCCCTCGAAGCTCAGCAGAAAACCCCCTACCCCAGACGGTTCTATCAACAGATTCCCCACGGCTAACTAATGGTTCTGTGCTCCCCGTCCAGACACAAACCCCCCCCCCCCTTCCACGCAGCCATCGCTATCTCATGCTCACTCAAACATCATCATTCTCGTATACGTCATGACTCATAACATTTGCACCATCGCTTCTCTTTGCTTTCTTTCCTTTGGAAGTAGACGAGCCGGTAGTGAGATCCAGCCCGTCTGCAAATGTTATACCTCGTCCCGGAGGGCCGCCTCCTCCGATAACGATAGCCACGACCAATCGCCCTGGAAGACGTCGGCGGGCAGAGCATTGACGTCGAGGTCTTCGAGGGCGTAGATGGCGGCGGCGGACGCGCTGTCTGCGTAGGAGGAGACCCCGACCCCGACCCCGTTCTCGAAGTCGAGCGGGTTGACCATGCTCAGCGAGCTGGGGATGTCACTTATCGTGCAGTATGATGGGGACGGGTAGGCGGTGCTGGTGCTGGTGCCGGGCAGGTAGATGGGACTGCTGCCGGGCGTACCGGGGATGAGACCCTGCTGCTGCTGCTGCTGGTGGCACAGCTGGGATGATGGGGGTGGTGGAGGTGGCGGCGGGCTCACGGAGATGATGGACCGAGGGCGATGATCGTCATAGTCCCCTGTCGGGGGAGAGTGGGAGTCGCGCCGGAATCCTGCACCTGCACCACCACTGCTACCACCGCCCGTGGACGACGGCGCAGGACGCGGCGCAATCGGCTTCAGGGAGCCCACCGAGGTGGAACGAGGAGATCTGCCGGCGGCTCTCTAGAACAAAGAGCAAGACGCCAAAGGGAATTCCACATCAGCCTTAGACTGTTCTCTGGAGCAATGAGGAAGGAGTGTGTGGGAAAATTCAGATTCAGATGGTGAGTGGGCTTTTTTGGTTGTCTTTGTAGTATATGTTTGGGGCGGGGGGCTTGCAATGCTGGTGCTGAACATCGGGGATGGCTCTACTTTTGATGCTTGACATCTGGCGTCGGCCTCGCGTTTGAGCTTGGCGTGATCCTCGGGCGCCTCGCACGGCGTGCAGTTGCAGACCGAGCAGGTTGCAAAGGGACGGCCCTTTCGGTTGATGTGGATTAATGGTCGATCTGTGCGGAGGTGGAATTAGCCAGGTAGGTTGGAATACCATTCACACAAGGCATGTATATATTACCATGGTGCTTGCAGGTGGTCACTCGGTGACCGCGAACGCAAGCTTCACAGGCCCACTTTTCACCGTCGATGAGCATCCCTTGGACAAAGATTGAAGTGGAATAGAGGCGGCCATGATTCCCAGGCGGATAGGGGGGAGGATTTATAGGTAAGAGCAAACAATACGTGATGGGCCGGAAAACCAGCGAGCGAGAAAAAAAAAGATTAGAGACGCCGATGGGGGAAATGAACACCACCAGATGGAGCGTTACTACAGAAAAAGGCAAAGCCGCATGGGGATGGGGAACGGGCACAGCCACGGATCGACTACATGGATGGCAAGGACTGGACTGGACTGTATAGAATAAGGCAGCTCGGTAGAGAAAGAAAGTACTCCGTAGCTGGTAGTGAAAGAGGGGGGAGGGGGTAGGTGGTAGGTAGGTAGGTCCTGAGCTTCGTGTGCAAGGGAAATGATTGCATGCGCGGTTTTTGGGTCTCATTTTACCGCAATATTTGGGGGGGGGGGGGGGGGATTGGGGAGGGTCCGTTCCTGGATGGACCCAAAAGTCCCAGGTTCTGACTGCTAACTTACCATACTGGAGGTAGTCAGTTTAGAGAGAAAGAGGTAATCCGAAGGGAGTGCAAGTGCAGTGCGCCAGAGCCAGCCAGGACCAACTCCTCCTTAGCTGATTTCTCCTCCCTCGATCTCCTCCTCCTCCTCCTCCTCTTCTCTCCCGCTGGCTGCGGAGTCCATGATGATATAATTGCCCTAACAAAAAAACCAGCGATTAGCATGCGGGATTTTCCCTAGCGAAATATCGAGACAATTCGTTGGTAACGAGATGCCGCATCCGTCTTAGTTGCGGGCAAAACCGAATGGTGCAGCAAATTCCCGCATACAATGAATGAACAATAACACAGAAAATCCTCTCGCGGGACTAGCTATAGTTACAATCATATTCCTGCTGCCTTGGATCAAAGGCACTAAGCAGCGACAGGTGAACGGCGACTGCGAAGAGATTATTACTCCGTACGCTCGAGCTGCTGATGATCGGAGGGAAAAGGTCTGGGTTGGGTTGGGACCTGTTGGAGATCCAAAATTCGAGACCCTGGCGGCGCACAGCTTACAGCTTACAGCTTGCAGCTTGCAGACCATGCTGCACGAAGAGCACAAGTGTGGGAAAAGCTCGAGCCATGGCGGGATGGATGGAGGTGGCTGAGCAGCTTTCCATTTCCTTCAACTGCTTGAAGCACGAGCCAATCTGGGCCTGCGTGATTTAAAAATTTGACATTTGGAAGTGGTGCAGTGGTTGTTGCTTATTTCCCATTCCAAACTTGTTTGGCCACGCCGCACTTTCGGTCCTCCCCGGTCGGAGCTTTTGCATCATCGGCTCCTCATCGAACCTGCTCCGTGCTCAGCTCGTAGTAAATTGGGACCCTCCGACTGGTTGGAACCAGAAGTCCGTGGCTTGAGACACAGACTCAATCTTGTGGTGTGGGAGAGTGCGAGAGTGCTGATCTTCGTCCGATCGGAAAAAGTAAGGACGAGCAAATCAGTCAATCCGCCCAAACATGTGACTGCCTCCCGTTCAATTTCATTCCTCAGGCCTCCCCCAGGCCACCCATCCCCTTCCCATTTCCTTTCGCTCTCATCAATCCTTCTCGCATAATACAACCATGACCAGGATGGCTTAATTGTGACTACTTCTACTCTGAAGTAACCAGCTGCGTGCATCACAAATATACTAATAGTAAATTCGGTCGGTCTAAATACAGAGAATCGAAAGGTAAAGTCGGGCTATATACATACAACCACAACCACCTTCGCACAAGAGAGTCCATCCCCAAACCTATCTAGGCGTAGGTGGGCCAGACAGTGACGGTCGAAGTGGTGGTGGTAACCACGGCTTCGGTCGTCGTAGTCCAGGCAGTCGAGGTCACCCACACGGTGGTGGTCGAGGCACCGGAGCCAGCCTGAGTAGCGACAGCCTTGTGGGCCGTCACAGAGACAGAGCCCGAGAAGCTGTCCTCGGGGTTGGTCTCCTCCTCCTCATCGTCCTCATCGTCGCAGTCGGGCAAGTCCTCGTCATCCTCATCCTCATCGGAGGCAGAGGCAGAGCTGGAAGAAGCAGAGCTGGACTCGGAGGTAGCAGTGGCGGTCGCCTCGGCGGCAACGCTGGCAGCGGTAGTCTCGGGAGTAGCCGTCGCAATGCTGACAGCAACCGAGGACTCGGTAGCAGATGCATAATGGGCAGCAGCAGTAGAAGCCGCAGAAACAGCAATGGACGAGCTGGCGGCGCTAACGGTGTCCGTGCCCTGGGCGATGATGCGGGCCACAGCGGCCTCCGCGGCAATCATGACGATCGCCTGGGTGTTACCGGTGGGCAGATCGGGGTGGATACTGGCATCAACAACATACTAGGAAAATGGTTAGCTCACTGCGCGATGCCATCGATTCCAGAAGGGCATCCTTACCAAGTTCTCGGTACCGTACACCTTGGTGTTGAGATCAACGACCGAAGTGCCGTTGTTGACACGTCCATCGTCAGTGCCGATCTTCGCAGTGCCGACAAAGTGGTCACCGCTGGTCATAAGGTTAAGGATACCGGAGGCAGTCGAGGTTCCGGAGATGGAGAACCCGGAGGTGGAGTTGCTGATGTCGTCGATCAAGCTCTGGAAGAAGCGGGTGACAGCTTCCTTGTCCGCGGCAGTCTGCAACCAGGGGTCGGTCTCGAGGGTGGTGGTACCGGAGCTGTCAATGCCAAGGACACCGGTCGAGGTGGCACCGTGGGTCAGGTACAGCTTCATGGTGATAACGCCGTCCGTGCTGGTGCTGCAGGAAGCCTGGTAGAAACGAGTAATGCCATCGGTTCCAACGTTGGAGGTCCAGAACTGGAGACGGTGGCCACCCTGGGTGAGGACACCGGAGCCCTCAGCAAAAAGCTTCTGAACGGCGGCGCTGGGGCCGGGAACAACACTGGAGGTGTTGAAGTGGGTGAAGTTGCTGTTGGTGTTGACGGTGATGGTGAACATGGGGTGGTCACGAAGGTTCTGGCCAACGGGCAGGTTGATCCACTCCGAGGAAGGAGGGAGGGTGATGCCAGTGTTGCCGCTCTTGACAGTCTGGATCTGCTCAGTGGGGCCAATACCGGAGTTGAACAAGATGCGAGGAGTAGACATGGAACCGGCAGCAAGGACAACCTTACCACCAGCATTCAGGTTGATGATCTCGATGCCACCAGAGCTGGTCTCGACCTCGACACCAGTAACGCGGGCGCTGCGGCGTACAAGACGGCGGACCTTGGTGCTCGTGCGAAGGCTGAAGTTGTCAAGGTCCTGGACCAAGGGGAGGTAGGAGCGGACGGGACCAGCACGGATACCATTGCCCACATCCCACGAGGGGTAACTGTACACCATGTGCTTCTCGTTGGGCTGCTTCTGGGAGTCAACAGACTTCCATCCAAGACCCTTCAGGAAGCCGGACAGAACAGTGTACATGCCCTGGTCGTACCGCTTGCCGTCGGCAGAGGGAAGAGTGCTTCCGGGGTTGAGCGCGTAGAGACGATTAGCGGCCGCCTCAATGTCCTTCCACTTCCAGCCGGTGGGCCACTTGTCGTCGAAATCGGCCTCCTGGGGGTGGATGAAGGATTCGGCGTTGACAATGGTACCACCACCGAGAACACAACCGGCCATTCCCGCAGTATCGTCGCAGAGGTAGTCGCCCATCAAGTTGAGGGAGGTGAGGGAGCTGCCGAGGGCGGGGATATCGAAAGGAGTCATCGAGGAGTTCCACGAAAGAGCATCGGTCGCACCCAGCTCCGTGGTCGGAGCCACACCACGCTCGATCAGCAGAACCTTCTTGTTGGTCTCGGCCAGACGCTCAGCGGCAACGATACCGGCAGCACCGCCTCCGACAACGATGTAATCATAGGTCGTGTTCGAGACCGTGGCGACGACACTGGCCGAGGCACTGGCAGAAGGGCTGGTAACCGAGGCGGACGCAGAGGCAGTAGATGTGCTCGAGACGGCCTTCGCAGCCCAGGTGGCGTAGCTAGACGACTTGGCCTTGGACAGGTAGACTTCGAAGCCACCGTAGCCGGCTCCGTGGAAAGGCATGGCAGAAGAATCGGAGGAGGGGGTAGTAGGGCTGGTCGTAGCGAGACCCCAGCCGAAGTAGTAGGTGTCTTCGGTGGCGCCGAAAGTGGTAGGCTCGCCGAGAATGCAGTTCTCGCACAGGAAGGTATAGGTGAGGAAAGTGCTGTTGACGGAGGTTCCCTCGGGGATTTCGAGAATGCTGGCATCACCGCTGTAAACCTCGGGGCTAGAGTAGGCACTGGTCTCGCGGAGAGTTCCGACAGCAGAATCGCCGTTGGCCCAGGCTGCGATGAGGAGAGCCTTGGTCATAGAACCGGACATACTGACACCACCCCATCCCTTAGAGCTGTCGAGAGGCACACTCAGCTGACCGATGAAGCTCTTCTCCACGGTCTCGGGCAGCGCAATACCGAAACAGAAGCCCGTATCAGAATCGCACCATCTCTGGAAGTCCATGCCGGAAAGCGAATCACTGTAGGCGGAAGTGGCGGTGGCTGCGGCGGAGGCACCGAGCGCGGAGCTCAGGGCCACAGCGCCGCTAAGAATGTAGGAACGCATCTTGAAGCGAATTGTTCGAAAGAGAAGAACGAGCAAAAGATGCGATAGACCAGAAAGGGTCGGAAAGTTACCTAATCAAAGGTGAGAAGAATGAGATAGAAACCTTGAGGGGGAAAGCTGGCCCAGCAGCAACCCGGAAAAGAGTGGCGGCAAAAAAGAGATTGCCAGAAAAAAAAAGAAAGAAAAAACAAAAGAAGGACCGAAAAGAATGAGAGAGAATGGATTGAAACTTTTGAAAGCCGGTGGAAGTCCAATTCGAGGCGGACCACGGCATTCATATAGAATCCTCCGCGAGGCCGACGTGGGGACAGGCCGGCCATCGTGTGAGGAAAGCGGAGGCGTAACGGTGATTGAAGGGAGGTCAGAGGATAAGACTAATGCATTGAAGATATTGATTGTGGACACGCATGCCCACCTCGAAGGCGTCTAGTCTGCTCCCTTCCAGCGATGTGGCCGTCTAGAACCCAGGCTGTGAGTGGCTTCGAAGCAAAATAAGCAATATCCGGCGGGCCCTGGGCGTTTCTCGGAGAGCGGCGTGGAGTGGGACATGCCAAGCATCCCTAGTCGGCATGTGTTTCACGAGCAGACATCGGTGGTTTGAGCGTTATAGCACCCCTGTGCCTTGGAAGAGCCAAGCTCATCTATATCAAACAGATTCCTGGCAGGAGTTCGCGCCGGAGTGGATTGATCACAAAACCCGCGTCGCCTATTGGCCTCCCTGGGCGTCGGATGAATAATGAAGGTCCCCAGTGGGTGGAAGACAGCCCCCGTTGTCGACAGGCGGTTCCTACCAAATCATGATATCGGACAGGTATAGTGATGATGCCAAGAGCTGTCTTATCGCCGTAGAGGCTTGGAGTATTCACAACTCCAGTCGTTGGTGCCTAGGGGGGTGGTTTGTCTGTTTAGCAAGGCGATTGCAAACACCTGAATCGGAAAATGGACAAGATTCAAACATACCTGATACTTTGTTCGGTTTTGAGAATCAACATGCTGGCTCTGGCCGCCGGGATGATATCGTAAGTGAAGCGTTCTGCGGAATCCTGAGACAAACAAAGTGTCAGAGAAGATGGATGGTGGAAGACGGAGAGAGGAGTCTGGAAATTACTCTAGTCCGCAGCGACTCGGGAGGGGAAACCTCGGTCGGCCTCCGGGCGGGTCCCACCACCAGGCAGCTGAGCCGACCAACCGGCGATAGGGTCATACTCATCAATTTTTCTTTTTTCTTCAATTGAGCGGGGCAATTTCCTTGATAAATCATTTCATTACTACTCTACATGCAGAGAGACGTGCGCTAAAAATGTAGGTACCAAACAACTGTACAGCTGCCTTCAATATCACTTCGTTGGCAACCCACATCCGCCATCTGCCCTGCTAGCAATCGGCTATCGGCTATCGTCAAATACAGTGCTTCGACCAATCTGGCTGCATATTGACTTTAAAGAAGACAAAAAAACAAGAAGAAAAAAAAAAGAGGAAAAGGTCCGTCGGAAGAAGAAAAGGGTTTTCGGTGAGAATTGACAAGCATGAGCAAACATGCACTGGTAGATGAACTATTTAAACAAGAACCATGCCAGCTCCGAACAAGGTTGACATGACAGTGACCAGGCCCACAAGAACAGGGGTCATGGTCAGGTGGGGCACGTGCAGGCCAGCAGCAGCACCTGGAGAGCTGGTCGAAGTCCCGCTGCCGGAAGAGCTAGAGCCACTGCTCGAGGAGGCAGAGCCAGATCCAGGCGTGGCGGTGCTGGTAGAAGCAGTTCCAGCGTTCATGCTACCAGAGCCCGAGAATCCAACACCCTTGCCGGCACCCTCGGTCATGTACTTCTTAGCGGGCTCGGGAATGGCAGGAAGAGAGTCGTTCTCAACATCCCAGTTGGGAGAATCCTTCGCAGGGCACGGGTTGGCGCCTCCAGTCTTGTTGTAGCCACCGTCGCCAGTGGGGCTCTTGGTCTTGGCCAGAGCAGACTTGAGAGCATCGTAGTCATCCAAGGTGCTGACCTTGCCGTCCTTGATCTGGACGAGACCGTAGTTGCTGGGCTCCTCCGAGTACTCGTAGACGAGACCACCGGAGTAGACGCCGGTCATGTCGGTGCTGTACAGGGAGCTGACCTCTTCGAACTTGCGGGTGTTGGTGTTGCAGCCGTACTCGGACAGGAAGAGAGGAAGACCGTATCCAGTGAAGTTCTTGACCTTCTGGTCCCAGCCGGAGGTGGTGAAGGAAGACGGGTCGCACCAAGAGTAGTCGTTGAAGGCGAAGAAGTCGCTGCGCTCATCGTCGCTACCGCAGTTCATGTACTGGGCCATCTGGAGACGGTTCGTGTCGATATCGGCCTAGAGAGACAAATTCCAGGTTAGACTTTCCGTGCTTTTTCCTTTCCTTGTGATATGACGTGACTACATACAGCAGAGTATCCGACAGGGATCTCACGGTACTTGCGGCTGCGGATGTACTGGCGAAGATCACGCGTGACGGCCTTGACATAGGGAGCAGCACTCGACGAGGGACCGTCGTTGATGACCTCGTTTCCAGAGAAGAAGGCGAGGGTGTTCTTGTAATTGGCGAACTTGTCGACCGTGGCGAAGATGTACTGGAGATAGACATCGTTGTAGGAGGGCTTCGGGTCGGCACGGTTGAGAGAGTACTTGGGGGTGTTGACGTCGAGAACCAGGTAGATGCCAGCATCTGCCAGAGCGTTCATGCACTCGTCGTGATCCGCGGAGTTGTCGACGGAGTAAACACGGATAGTGTTCAAGCCGAGCTCGGTGAACTTGGCGATGTCGCGCTTGCAGCCTTCGGCATCGGCAATGGGATCGGCCAGCTTGGACGAGCCACCGGGTTGGTAGTCGACACCACGGATGTAGAAACGGTCGTCACCCTTGAAGAAGGCATTACCCTTGACGGTGATAGGAGTCACGTCGTCACGGGCCTTGAGGTTCGGAGCAGCCAAAGCGGTGGAGGCGCCCAAAGTGATGGCTGTCGCGATAGCGTAGCCCTTCATGTTGATGGATTATGTGAGTTGAGGTGCTTTGATGGGAGAAAACAAGGCGGATGGTGGGTGAGTCTCGGGAACGAATGGAGACCTGCTGTGTAAAAACAGTATGATATAGTTGATGGGAGGGTAGAGCTTGGAAGAATTGGCGGCTATCGAAAGCAGGCGAGAAGAGGTCAATAAGATTGAACGAGTGACTTGAAATGGGGAGAGAAAGAGGGAAAAAAAAAAAAAGCGAACGATTGAAGGGATAGTGGAGGAAAGAACCCAAGGCAGGGGAAGAAGATGATGAGGAGAGAAGAGAGAGAAATCGAAAGAGTAAGGAAGGGGGTGGTGGTGGTGGTGCAGGGTCGAAGGACCCTTAAAGGGTAACTGAAGAGCAGACACTGGGCAGCCCAAGGCAGGCAGTGTCAGCCATCCACTCCATCCCTGAGCCGTCTGCCCCATACAAAGATTCAAAACAGTAAGGATAACCCAGGTTGCCACAAAGAAGCGCGTGTCACACAATGTCTCCATTGCCTGGATTGCCGGATGAGGCAGCCAAGGGATTTCAGTATGTGTGGGAAATTGCTGGGCGGGTCTACCGGATGCCTATCAGCTGTCTCGATCGTCAGATCGCCCCCAGCGCAGGACTGCACTGCACTGCAGGATCAGGGTCCAGCCAGGGACGGACTGGACTGGACTGGACTATACATAGGACAGCAGAGTGGATTCCATTGTGTGTAAACAGTTTGTTATTTTCTGGTGAAAAGGTGAATATTGAAGAACAGTCAATTGAATTGAATTGGTGTTTTCCTTCTGGTGAATTTCTATCTCTGCTGTGCCTTTTTCAATCACCAATTAAGTCGACCATGACATCCTTGTACCTGGGAAGGGCGCAAAGAATGGATGGAGTGGAGATGGAGCCCTGAGGAGCCCTGAGGAGCCCTGAAAAGCCCTGAACCCCGGCCGGGCCAAGGAAAGAAGGAGGGGCCCCCAGTGGGTCCAGCCACAAATCCAGTCCCTGGGCGGGAAAGAAAACGAAGTGAGACCCCTGCCTGGGTGCTGCTCACTGGAAGTGGCTTGACATATTGCACTGTACTGTACACAGTATGTACTGTACTTCCACACCCTGCAAAATAGGTTACTCAGTACTCAACTGTCGACTAAGCACTAACGACCAGATCAAACAATTCAGCCTCTCCAAACATACTATGTGTAATCATGTTAACGTATAAGAAGGGGAAGATCCCCTCCCCTCTCTCAAGCACTTCAGGGTACCGATCGATGCAGCCATCCCGTTTCCCTGCCGTGCCAAAGCAGATCATCTCCGAGCTGGTTTGACTCGAGGACTGGTTCCTTCCTCAGCATGTCTGACCTCCCCCTTCTCTTTTCCCTTGTGGTGTCTCCAAATACCTCCCTCCGTTGATGGCCGAGCAAACGCCCAGAAGAATAGGCTTTGGGGGGGGGGGGGTTACGACGACTCTGTATCCTGTCTCAGAGCCCCCAAGGTTTTGCCTGTGCCATTCGTTGGATGGAAAGCAGGTATGGTTACCCAGCCAAGAAGCAGCAGCTGAGACATGCCAACACAACACCCAAGATTCCCTTCCTTCCCCCATCCACTCAACCCACCCTCCGCTAATTTTAGGCGGTCCCCTCGCTAATTTTAGCCAACCGACTCATTTCCCTGCATTTACGTATGAAGAAGAGCCAAGTTTGATCTCCCTTTCGCTCTTTGGACTGGTAGAGGATGAGATCAGTGATTCTTCTTGTGCCACAATTAACATCTGTATGTCTGTAGGTCCGGAAGGGATCATTATCACTCGATCCTTTGATGATGCACTTAGAGGAGGAAAGTAAATCACAGGAGCAGAACGCGTGCGTCAAGATAAGATATCTTTTCTATACTTCAACTGACAATGTGCAAACTTCAACATAACTTACTCGTACTCATAACTGCCGAACGGAATACTCTGCCTATGTGTAGGATATTCCCTCCCTCCGAGCCCGGTCGGGAGTGGTACTTTCTCTATTCCCTCAACTCTTCAACCCGATCCAACCCAGCCCACAAACAAAAACAATCTCAGATAATCGCATCCACAACCATAAATACTAAACTTTACACTTCCAATCCCTCATCACCCAGGGAACATAAAACCCATGCTATCCCCTCCATCCCCAAACCAAACACGAAAACCCTAACACTGACGTCAACGCACAGATCGAAGCACGGTCCCACCAACTCTCGCTCTAGACCCAATTCCCCCCCTCCCCGCGACCGGTAACCGTACCTGTCTATCCATCTATCTAATCCCCTTAACCGAGCCCAGCCCGACCGACCGTCAAATCCAAGACCGCATACCAACAAAACAAGACAAAACAGGAGAACAAAGTTGTCCACAAAAACCAACCCAAGAACTCAGGAGGTTGAGTACCGCTCACTGAGCGACATCTCCCACGGGGGGTGGATAGCTCGCGTCAAAACTCATATGCGGAATCCTTGGCCGGAGATTTAACGAGCGCGGCGGGACTCGGCTAGTCGGTCGAGACCGTCTCGGCGGGGTGGGTTGCCATTTGATGAAATACGGAGGTCTTGGGGGGCCGAGGGAGATTTAGGCAGCATGTTTCTGCTTCTTGGGTTTGGTTGTGCTGACTTATGGGATTGTGGAGGGTAGGTGAAGGTGAGGTTTACTTCTGTTGACGTGCGAAGGAGGAATTTATATCTAGATAGCTAGATAGGAGGGAAGGTTGAGAATTTGGTGGATTATTAGGGAATGATATATGGAATGTATGGGATTGTATACCTCACGACATTAATCCCAGGGTCCTCTGGAGCATCTGAAGTCCCTCATGACGACCAGTCGCCCACAAATGAATCAGGAGTGGAGCGAGCGTATGCTGCCTCGGACCACATGGAATCAATCCATCATGCTCGGAGCCCGCGGACGGGACTTACCTGGTCCTTGACACTCTGAAGTATTGCCAATGGGCCAAGACATGCGCTACGAGCATGCTGTGAATCCATTGAGGCGCAGACGGTCGCCAAGCTGGGATAGAGCTCGACAGCCGAGGAGCGTGGGTTTGCCAAGTCGCCGTGTGAAAGATGTGAACTATACTGATAGTTTATTTGACTCGCGAGCGGAAAGGGGGCGGAATTGTTCTAGGGAATGCTGTTGATGGCAGCCTAATATGCTATGTAGTGCTCGGGTAGGCATCTATATATACTATGTCGGCCAATGGCTGGAGGGTTTGTCCTGCACTTTCCTCAGCTCTTGCAGTCAACATGACAGTCTTGTGATCAAGTGAAGCGACTTACTCGCAGTACTACTTTGTTCATAAGGGATACTTATCCTCGCTTGCTTGCCTGCAAAGAACACCCAGAGGAAAATGAAGGATGTAATGCACTGGCTGTTGTTGGCGGTCCCCTGAGCTGCTCAACACCGACTGTCATGGCAAAGGCATCTTGCCATTGTCGGGGCAGCTGCACCATGATCTAGCAGGTAGGACCAGCATAGTACTCACCTCGCTTGGAAGATGCAGGCTCGGTGCTTGCTCTTCCAACTCTCAATACGTGGCGGCTGGCTCCTTCCCCGAGGACTCACTGCACCTGAGGTTCAAGAGGCAGGAGAATGTCCATATGGCCACCGAAGCCCGACAACCTCCTCCAAGAGAGCGTCCAGAAGAGCAACAACAGTATCCTCACCTCGCAACCACATAATTTCGATCATTCTTTCTCGTCATCCCCTTAGCTTGTACCAGCTCATACCAGCTCAAACGAGCAAGCAAGTGTGAGTGGCCTCCAAGCACCCAAGCACCCAGCATGTACTGCAGACACTGACAGCACACCAGATGCATTACACCACCTACCCCCTCATCTGGATCACCCTCCTCAGCACCGTTTGGTGTCAATGGTCCAAACTCTTCATCAGCCAGCCAGCCTTCACCAACCACCCGTGGCCCTCCATCCTCCTCGAATCACCCGAGTTCGGCCCCACCGGCTCCTACCTTGACATCGACCACACACGCGAGGGCGCAGGCAACTTCCCCGCCCTGTCCTGGCCCTATCCATCCGGCACGGCCGTCCAAGAGTATATCCTCCTCTGCGAGGACCCTGACTCCCCGACCGCTGAAGCCGTCATCCACGGCCTGTTCTATGGGATCCATCGCGCGACAACCGGGGTGCAGAACCCGGATTTCTTCCTCGACCAGTCGCAGACCGAGCCGTTCATGCTGCGGGGTGGATTCAAGTACGGCCAGAATGGAGGGAATGGCGTGTATTTCGCCCCGCTGGCGCCCCGGGGCCAAGGGCCGCATCGGTACTTCTTCGAGCTGGTGGCACTGAACGAGACCGTGGACCAGCAGGGTCTCAGTTCGCCGGCGAAGATTGAGGAAATCATGCGCGCGATCGAGGGGAAGGTGGCGGGATGGGGCGCTTGGATGGCATTGTCTCAGAGAGCTTGAAGCATGATCCGAATCGGATGGAGATCGTTATCCGTTGTTGTGTTGCACAGTGTGCTTTGAGTCGTTCATCGTCATCGTCGTTGTTGTGTTTTCATGGATACACCCGCAATCATTTGTAACACCCGGAGACAGGCATTGGGAGCACCTGCAATCAAGAAAGTGGTACGACCACAGTTCACTCGATGGGCTTCGCTCTGATCTTCACTTTCATGTCTTACATGGAGTAGTCGTGGACGTCATCGTCGAAAGTCGGCATTCTTTCTGCGTCGACTAGGGCCGGCTAGCTTCGAATTGTCCGATAATTATAGTATGGACTATTGGCCGAACGACCCGACTTTGGCTTCATTCTTGACCGTTTGGTCGAAAACAAACTTCTGCAGTGTTCGTATTGTGTCTGGTAGAAGAGGCAAAATGACTGCCTGGCTGTCTCCAAGATTAGCACAAGGATAGGGGGCGCTAGTCCAGTCCCGGTAAGGGTCAGCCTCACTGCGCTGATGAGAGCCAATCAGAGATGGCCACTGATGCTTACGCTGCCCAGAATAGCAGATCTGACCCAACTTAGCTAGCCGTTCTGGGACTAGGGCCGAATCTAATAAGAGCTAAGCCCCTTTAGCCCTTCAACGGATGCGGAGGGGGGTTTCGGCGCTCGGGAAGCTGTAACAATGACAGCCGGTCTGTCGACACTGCAAGGTGAAGAGGCATCAAATGATGCCTCAAAAAAATCAATTTGATCACAGGGTGAATGATTCTTGATGAAACTCAAAGAAAGGGATCAATTGGTGATGTAAGTGGATAGCAATCGACAGGTACCAGAGATGGTCAGGAACACCTCCTTGGCAAATTGGCCACCTGGATGGTAGTGCCGATAGTCCGCGAACGGTGGCAGAGGAACGGACCAAGTGGCCCAGTTCGGGCTTCCTTTTCCCCCTGGTGCCTGATAGACCCAGCACAAAGACTCCTGTGCTGAAAGAGAAAAAAAAATCCATACTGAATACTTTGCCCCAGAGCTCAATTCTTTGTCCTCGGTAGAAATCTCATGTGGTCAACTCCGAGGTCTTGACGGAGAAGACTGCTCGGTTGCGAAGAGTAAGGTGGGGTAAAACCGTAAACGCAACACGACTGATCTCATGGTGTTGTCATTATTCTGCTTATCGACCTGGAGTTCTTCGGATTTGTCTCAGCGGTCGGGATCGTCCGCTCCAGCCTTACTGGCCGCAACAACTGAAACATTCTTCCCTTTTCAAGCCAGTGAGGTTAAATTCAATGCCGACTGTTCGCAATGACACCATGACACCAATCATCAAAACAGTCTGCCTGCCAATCAGTGTCTGTCCGAGGTGGTATACACACAGATTGTGAGACACGCAACCAAAGCCAAAGATGCATGGCTGCCGTCTTACACCCTCTGTGTAGGTAATAGGTGGGTTGGGTTAGGAAATCCAGGCGAGCTGGTGTGTGCATTGGCCCAATTGCCCGTGTTCGCGGCTGACGGTGACCTCGTACAATCGGTCGAGAAGTCACTACTCCCACGGATTGCATCCGGATACTTTTGTTGCTTTTTTAAGGGCATTTTATCGCGACCGGAGGGGATAGGCTATGCATCGCCGCACCTGGGTAGAACCATGGTGCAAGATGCATTTGGGTAACCTTGTTCCTTTCTCTATCAGTCCCTCTTGTTATAATGCCTTTGCTTCCTGAATGTTGTTTGCTTCATCCTTTCTTTCTATGATGATAACAAAAAAAATAAGGCACCATCTTGTAATTCGATCTTCTAGCGTCTTTCCACTCGTTGATCCACTCACTCACTGGCTCCGCAAGTCCGAGCTAGACCTGCCTTGTTTTTTTCATTAGTACGTATTCTTTTTTTTCCTGCTCTTTCTAGCCTGCCTGGCGATCGAGGTTCTTTTTTTTTTCTTCTCTTTCTCTCTTTTGTCTGCTACTATTTATTCACTGGCGGCGCAGCAGAACAAGCCTTGTCGGCCATTTGTTTCACTCTCATCTCGGGTGGCTTGCAGTTAATCAATCACCTGCCAACCGTTACTATAATCAATTATTGCCAGCCCACTGTTGCAGGACGCACTACACGCAGCGTACTGTACTCAGCCCAGTACACCTACTCATACTTATCAACCTGCCTGGCCTCTCTCTTCCGCTTCCGTCTCCTTCCCCTCTTCATCGACCTCCGAGTATTACCCTTTTGGGAACTCCAACCAAGTGAACGACACACTTTTTCTCTCGCTTCGATCCCCTGAACCTTCGTTTCTTCCACTTCAACTTCAAAAACATCCCACTCGATCAATAAAGACGTTGAAATATCCAACTGAGGCGCCATGGCGTTGTCAACTCGCCTGCTCCAACTGCTTCTCCTATCCCTAATCGCCTTATCTGCGATTGCAGCCCCGGCCGCCGATCAGTCCGAATCCGACGCCCCGTCGGTCGCCGACAGCATCGAAGAGACCTCCCTCCACAAGGCTCTGCATCTGTTCCAGAGGTTCAGCCACGGCATCTTCCAGTCTGACGAGGAAGCTGCCGCAGCTCTCCAGCAGGATGATTCGTCGTTGGCGGACCACTTGAACCTGGTCAAGCGAGCGGATGGCAACTCGACGGCTGCGGTAGAGACGACGAGCCAGGCCTCGGAGCCGGCAGCGACCACTTCTGCCGCCGCGGCAGCAACCACCGCTTCGCAGGCTGAGAGTTCCACCAGCAGTGCGCAACAACAGCCCACCACTACTGCTGCGGAAACTACCGCCGCTCCTACGACCACTGCTGCCCGCACGACCGCTGCGAGACCTACGACTAGCTCTAGCAGCAGTGAGTCCAGCTCTAGCAGCAGTGAGTCGAGCTCTAGTAGCAGTGAGTCTAGCTCCTCGTCTCCGTCCACGTCTTCTTCTTCCTCTTCTGCCTCTACGGCGACCACCTCGTCGACCTCTTCCTCCTCCTCGTCGTCTTCCACGGCGACGTCGACCTCTACTACTTCTACTTCTTCGTCCACTTCGTCTACATCTTCGTCCTCGTCCTCTTCTCACACCACCGCAGCTAGTACCACGATCCCCACCGTCGCGGCCACTACTACTACTACTACCTCTACCTCTGCTACTTCCACTACCACTAGTACCACTTCATCCAGCTCACATACTACCGCAGCTCACACGACCTCCACCACCTCAACAACATCCACCTCCTCGACCTCCTCCTCGTCCTCCACTTCATCAAGATCCACATCCGCCACCTCGACCTCGACCTCGACCTCCACCACCCTCGAGACCACCACCTCCACCTCCACTACTTCAACCAAGGACTCCCAAACCACAGACGACAGCTCCACCACCAGCGCCAAGACCACCCCCTACACCTCCACCTACAAGATGACCACCACGCTGCCCAACGGCCAGCAGAGCACCGTCACCGCCATCACCGTCATCCACCCGACCGAGACTGCCCACGAGGTCGCCACCGGCACCCGCGGATCCCCAAGTCTGCAGACCGACAACGGTGCCGCGACCGCGCACGGTCTAGGTCGGGAGCTGTTCGTGATGGTCGGTGGAGCGGCCGTGGTGGCTATGGCTCTGTAAAGACAAAAGCAAACCACCTCCCCCACATCATCCGAATACTTGTTTTTCTCCTCCCAGCAAATGCATTTTCCGGCGTTTTTTTTGTTTCCTGCTAGCTTTTCAGCTGCCCCCATGATACCTCTCACCATGTTACGATCCTTTTGATGCAAAACAAAACACACGTGAATCTGGCAAAGCATACATTACTTGTTCATTTAGCTCGGCGTATTCCCACATCTTGTCTCTCCTTTAGCGCATTCTGATTTCTGTTTTTACACCTGGGTTGGGGAGAAGAGGAGGGTAGAGGGGATGGATGGATGGATGTTGTTCAAAGCATGTGCATACTTTAGACAGGTTGTCTTTGATCATTCACCCTTGGGGGTTGCAAAGGTGACTCCTGGATCACGGATCATTCGGACATAATTTGAGACTGTTTCGTTCTCTCAGTTGTTTCAGGCTATGGATAATTGTAGTGCTTAGGTCATGAAAATGGGTATTCTGAACGTAACAACATGGCTCTAATCTGGTGACATGACTTGCCCTACTTGCTTGCTGTCACTTTGCACGTGATGGGTAGGCTAGCTAGATACCTTCGTAGCTAGCTCTGTACAAACCTACCCAATAATAAACAACAGTATAGATAGGTGTAGATGTAGGTATAGACATGGTGATAATCCCCTCCCTCTTATCTCTTTGTGTCCCCTCACCCGGAACGGACACGGTTTGATGATCCATAAAGACGCGCCGCATCTCGGTTTGCATGGTGCGATCCTTCAACCTAGCCTCTCACCTCCTGACCAACGAGTATATACCCCAAACGACCTCCCTCAGTCCACGCGGTATATTGTCTATTTCGGCACCCACCGCTCCTCCTCCGTCCAGAACCGCACCACACTCTCCCACGCGGGGATATCGCCGTCGCGCAGCAGGGCGGCGACGTCGACGTTAAGCGGCGATTCCGGGCGCGGATCCGTCAGCAGCTGGTGGATGGCGGTGAGGGTCGAGGAGAGGGTGTAGACGGGGCTCCAGTGCTCGGTCGTCAGGAGGGTGAGGCAGATCTCGCCGGTGGTGAAGGAGATGTTGGGGTGGCTGATGCGGGTGGTGAAGCGGATGGTGGGCGGGGTAAGCGGGTAGGATGGGGGAATGGTGATGTGGAGGGACCAGAGGCCGCCTATTGAGAATCTTAGATTGTGTAAAGGTTGTGGGGGAGAGCTGAGTGAGGGCTGTCGGCAGTGCGGAGGGGCGCGGGGGAGAGGGAGGAATGAGGGTTTGCTTACCTTCGTATGGAGTGCCCTTCACACCTTTCAGGACGGCTTCCCAGTGGAGGAGATCATCCTCTTCGATGGGCCCGAGATGCAGAAGAGCTTCATTGGGGTTGTTGGTGTAGTCCTTCAGTTCCCGGAGGAGACGCTGGGTGGTGTTGTGCGTTGCCATTGTCTCAGCTTCTCATGTGCAGAACGAGCTGCTGCTGCTGCTGCTGCTGGCTGCTGGCTGGCGTGGTTGGCGAGTGGTGAGTGGCTGGAATGCGGTGGAATGCTCGGCGTCGCTGACTGAGCGTCGCTGACTGAGCGAGGGGTTTGCCCTTGGTGCGTGTGGAGGAGGACGTGTGAAATTGACCGTGTTCTTTGAAAGGGAAAACAAGTCTTTGCGATCGCTGCGTGTCTCTCAAAAACAGTCCCTCACCAACAGACACATTCCTCCAGGATGTGACACAGCGGGTGGCTGGCACTGCACTCAAATGGAGTTGAAGCGGAAAGAAAATACCGAGGCTCAAGTCGTGGGTCTTCCCCATTCAGTAGCGCCGGGTGCCAGTCTTCTTCCCGTGGTCTGGACTGCGCATTCCTTGGACTGATGGGGCCCTAACAAATTTTATTGATGCTTAGCCACCGTCTTTTCATGTGAAATCGAAAACGACATCCATCTTTCATCTTTCATCTTGATAACCAGCAGCTTTACATCCATGCGCACCTCTCGCACAGCCAAGGAGACGGCCAGAGTCGTTCAGGCCCTGTCGCCCCCTGGCCGTCGGCAAACACGCAGCTCATCGGCTCATGCCAGTGTCCTGCGCAGTTTCGCCTTCAACGGTGGCTCCAATGCATCTGCGTCTGCATCTGCATCTGTGCCTGCGTCTGCGGAGGCAGTGAGCGATGATGATGACACGTCGTCGCTGTCATCGGTCCCAACTGTCGATATCGAGGATATCTTGGAGCCCCCTGCCAAGCGGCGGAAGAGCGCATTGAGCGCCCCTTCAGCCCGCGGCTCGCGGAATCGTACTGCGCGAACGCCTGCAAATGCTACCCAGACATCTCTCAAAGTTGAAACCACTGTCAAAGAGGAGGTCTTCGAGAAGCCTGCGGCCAGATCCCGCCGCGTGCCTGCCCGGAAGGTCAAGGTCGAGGATGGCACCTATACGGTAGAGCCTCCGTCCAACTGGGAGACCATCTATACCACCGTGAAGAAGATGCGCGAGGACAATCCGACCGCCCCAGTCGACACTATGGGCTGTGCTGAGCTCTATTGGCGTGCGTCGTCGCCCCGAGATCGCCGCTTCCAGACCCTCATTGCTCTGATGCTGTCGTCGCAGACCAAGGATACGGTGACGGCCGTGGCCATGCAACGATTGCACACAGAGCTTGGGGATGGACCTCCAGTTGCCATCAAGGCCGAGCCCAACGACGACAACTATGATAGCAAGGCACTAGAGCCTATGCAGGACAGCACTCTGAACCTGGAGAATATCTTGGCCGTATCGCCGGAACGGTTGAACGAGCTGATTCGCACCGTGGGCTTCCATAACAACAAAACCAAGTATATCAAAGCCGCTGCCCTCATTATCCGCGATCAGTATGACTCCGATATCCCGTCGACGCCGACTGAGTTGATGAGCTTGCCGGGGGTCGGGCCGAAGATGGCATTCCTGTGTATGAGTGCTGCTTGGGGCAAGCACGAAGGCATTGGCGTTGACGTTCACGTGCACCGTATCACCAACCTCTGGGGATGGCACAAGACGAAGACTCCGGAGGAGACTCGTAAGGCCCTGGAATCGTGGCTGCCAAAGGACAAATGGCATGAGATTAACAAGTTGCTGGTTGGACTGGGGCAGACGGTCTGCTTACCTATCGGCCGGCGGTGCGGCGACTGTGACCTTGCAGGGACGAAGTTGTGCAAGAGCGAGATTCGAGGAATGGCTTCCAAAGTAAAGAAGACGATAGTATACAAGGCGGAAAGTGGTGTTGCCCCGCAGCAGTTCATTAGTGACGATAGCGGGGGAAGTCCAAAGGTGAAGGTTGAGGTGGAGTGATGGATTGAATGCGGGCCTTTCCCTTTTCACCTTCTTCACTCGTCGTTGTTGAGAGGTTTCACGTTTGGACTGTTTGGACTGTTCTGTTGTTCTGTTGTTTTGCCCATCAAGTCCGACATCTCCCCATTGCTGTCTCTGTTGACTCTGTCACGCAGTAGGAGGATTTGACGTGACTTACCGTGTTTCCTCTTCGCGTCCGTTCTTTCGCTTTCTCTACACCACATCTCTGCCTCCTCCATACTTCGTCCTCCACCACCCAATTTCCCTCGCCCTTCACACTCCATCTCATATGGGCTTCCTCAAGTAGTTTCAGTCCTGCCTGGCAGTATCTGGGACGCACTTCATCTCGACTGATGGAAATCATGGGTCCGTTGATGCCTCCATGTCTCCCCTTATCTACCAAGCTAAAAGACTACTAACCGTCTGGTTCTGAGTAGCTTCGATCGATGTTCCGGCCGCGGTTCTCCCAACCTTTGAGGATGCCTTCTTCACTTTCCTTGAACGTGGATGGATGCTTTCTGCGAACGATCCCGAGAAACAGGCTGCTCAAAGTGAGGTGGTCGTTCAGAAACCACGCATCACGTTCATGGATCTCCCGTATGTGGCTCGCGTCAGGATCCTCGAGTATGCTGGACTGCTGCGGAACTGTGTCATAAACTTCCGATACGAGGCTGTACGCAGAAAGCACAATGGTGGCACCTGTCTGAAAGGGGATCATCGTCATTATATTGCTCCAAGTCCAGGGATCTGGATAGAGCGCGACTGCAATCACCCGAAACTGCCTATCGAGCTCTTCAGTATCTCTCGTGCTACTCGTGAAGAAGCGGGCGCAGTTTTCTTCTCCCACAATCGGTTTAACGCACCCCTCTCCAGCAGAACTGACTACAATTCCTTTGAGTCCTCGTTTGAATGGGGACTCCACCGTCTGCGTTACTTGCACTTGGACCTGAGCCCGAAAGAACACCGCTACCTCAAGCTGGCCGGTGGAGTCCACAGGACGTCTCTACGAATTTGGATCAGCTTCTGCCTGCTGGCTCATTCTAAAATGCACGGCCTAAAGTATTTTAGTATGACATGCAAGGTGCGCGAACTGGAGGTCGCCCAGAGACTCATGCGTGAGATGAATCCATTCCCAGTTCTGCTCCAGTGCGCGTTCCACTTTGGTCACAATTATGAGGAACACACTCAGAAGGTGATTCGCCGTGCTGCCTTGAGGGTGACGAATACTTTGGCAGTCAAGCCTCAGTTTCCGTACTTTCGTCTTCCCCGGGAGATACAGTTCATGATTCTGGAGCTGCTCCTGGTGGACCATCCAGACCCATTCCTCCCAAAGGTGGAGAGCCTGAGAGGTGTCATCTCGCTCCAGGATCGCAAGAAAGCCATGCGACCCAGCAGCTTTCTTTCGATGAATTGCTGCCTGACCTGCTCTCCTGTTGGGGCAATTTGTTTCTGCCGTGGCCGTCACACAGCTTTTTCGACCTCCTGCAGCTGCCTTGAGAGCCCGCTCAACTACTTCCTTGTCAGCCGAGACTTCTATCGGGACGCCCGCCAGATATTCTACTCCCGTAACAAATTCGCATTCCTGGATGAAGACCCGGAGTTCATGCTGCAGTTCCTTAACAAGCTCCCGACCTCAACCACGGAGCTCATGCGGCACCTGATTCTCAAGTTTCCGTCCCACTACCGTGATACTCCCCGCACAGGGCCCCGCTCCAACGAATCGACTCTGCTCTGGTGGTCGGTGCTGCGCCGCTTCATCCGCGAGCACTTCAAGATCCCGAACCTGTCATTGACTATTGTGGATATGGGCTGGAAAGGGATGGTTTCCGGTGAGCCCCGGCGCCGTTACCTGAAGAAGCTGCTAGAGGGGATGCTCGAACTTCGAGGACTGCGCGACTACCGTTTGTATCTCTCCGAGAACCACGAACTGGCAAAGGACATGGAAGTGCGGATGCTGGGGGAGATCGTATATCAGCGGGCTCGCGGAGTGGCGCCCTTCAGTGGTCCGAAGAACTCACAGCATGCGCATTGACAATGTGTCTTCAGTGGATATGACTTGATCTTACTTTTCTCTGTGTCTATTTTCTTTTTCCTTGTTGGAACGTGGAGGGAGGGTGGCCGTTCATTATTCAGCACTTCGGAATATCTACTCTAGTTAATAAGTGGAGGTTGTCTGTAACCGAAGGTAATTGTTTATAATAACAAATGAAAAAAAGGCTTTCTTTGCAACCAGCAAATAGATTTTAATTTGCGATTCCTCGTGGCGTCATTGATGCCTAGACCACATCCAGAATAGGATTGAGTGGTCCCTTAGATTGCCCATGGCTGAGGTGGTTAAGATATACGGCCATACTAATGCCATACTACCACTACCCTGGTCCAAAAAGTGTCAACAAAGCAACTCCTACGCCTAGAGCTCTCATAGAAGGATCCTCACTGAATACAAAGACGCAAACACCCACAAATGAAGCGACTGAATCCAGCCTTCCCTCCCCTACTTCACCCCCCACTATCCCACTACGACAGCTGTCCGAGGGAGTTGATGACTAATCGCTCCCCTCACGCGGCCTTTCCCCGCAGCCCGCAGCCCGCAGCCCGATCTGGCAGCTCAGTTTTGCACTGCATCATTCTTCAATCCTGCAGCACGCACTTCCTCCACTTTCCTGACCCAATTCCCCAGATTCACTCACCACCGTGATCAGCAAGCCACCGCAACACACCTTGCTCCGAATCGAGCCCATCGCATCCGAAACAAAACCACAATCTCTTCCTCCCGCCCAAGAAAAACCAAGAAATTTACCACCCCTCACCACAAAAGCCGCAGTGCGCACGCCTACCTACCCCCACCACAGCAAACAACCACACACTGACCCATCTTAGCTCAGCTCAGCTCAGCTCAGCTCACCACCACCACCTCTCAACCCTCTCAGACAAACGCAAACTGTATCTATCCCCTTCTCCAAAATGAAACCCCAATCATCGCCGATCCCCATCCCCGCCTTCGCAACCACCCAGCTCCACCACCTCAAAACCGAACACAGCCTCGAGATCGCCTCCTCCACCCTCTCCGCCGCCTCCGTCGCCGCCAGCCCCGCCACGCGCCGCACCCTCCAGGCCACGGGCCACGCGCTCACGGGCCTGGTGCTCACGCAGACGCGCACGGGGTTGGGCGGGCGGTTGGTTGGGGAGTTTGTGCCGGATGCGGCGACTACGTCCTCTAACAGCTCTAAGGGAGGAGGCGATGGCAACAGCCAGGGCGGGAATAATGGGAAGGATGATGGGCGGTTACGGCTCCCTGCGCATGGCATCCGGGTCGGGGATGTGGTGAGGTGTTTGGAGATTAGTAATTCTTCGTCGTCGGCGGGGGCGAAGAAGGGGAAGAAAGATGGTGGTGGTGGTGGCAGTAAGGCGCCGGA